GTACACACACACACACGCACGCTAAAAAATCTGCCTAGCCTCCCCTAGTTACAGCGCTGCCTATTGACTTGTGTGTCCGTTCCCATTTTGCTTGTCCATGTGTAACCATATAACAGTGAAGTGTGTGTTACTATTCCTGTGTTGTCTGTTGAAAGCTGCAAAGGGGGTGGGTGCGGCTTGTGTAGCACACGGCGTTCTGCCGACTGTTCTACTTAACAGCCTACAAATCTCAGGTGGGTAACTTATTCTCATGACCGCAGGCCATAGCAAACATTGTCGAATGCAGCTATTCGGCGTTGCCCGTGCTTGGCAAATGACCCAGTGGCGAATATAGGGGTCAGTGAAACAAAAGCACTTAAAGAGAGTGTGCCGTTATTAAGAACGTTATCCTTATGGCAATGGCGTAAGTTGGTTTCTACAAGATAAGATGTGGTTTTGCCGTGGCAAATGTAAACAGATATTTCCAGAGGTATAGCCAGACAGCAAAAAGCAAAACAAGGAGACTTGTGGCTCTTTTTAGCGAATTGTATCATAGCGTAAGAGGGACGCGGGTGGCGCTGTGGGTAAAAGCCTCAGCGCCTAGGGCTTGCTGATCGAAAGGTCGGCGGTTCGAATCCCCGCGGCGGGGTGCGCTCCCGTCATTCGGTCCCAGCGCCTGCCAACCTAGCAGTTCGAAAGCACCCCCAGGTGCAAGTAGATAAATAGGGACCGCTTACTAGCGGGAAGGTAAACGGCGTTCCGTGTGCTGCGCTGGCTCGCCAGATGCAGCTTGTCACGCTGGCCACGTGACCCGGAAGTGTCTCCGGACAGCGCTGGCCCCCGGCCTCTAGAGTGAGATGGGCGCACAACCCTAGAGTCTGTCAAGACTGGCCCGTACGGGCAGGGGTACCTTTACCTTTACTTATCATAGCGTAAGCTGTGTTGGACTATTGCCTGTTAATAAAAAATGGTCTGAAAAACAAACAGACAGGCCCCCTTGTTCCAGATTCGCAGTTGGTGTAGGGCAGTCTTTGCTAACCTGGTCCCCTTCAGAAGTTTTGGACTGCAACTTTTATCCCCCCAGGCCCAGCGTGGAGCACTTTCCCTAAGATCAGGGATGGGGTCCTCCAGATAATTGCTGGATTCACTGAGCCTCCGGATAATTGTTAGACTCCGATCAGCCTCAGTGGGCAGGAGCTGGTGGGAAGTGGAGTCCGGTAATGCAAGCTGGTTTGCATGTCGCTTACGCTTGCCCTGCTTAAGAGGAAAGACGGATGTTTTAAGAATTGCTAATGGTGTGGACAATGTAGATAGGACAGGTTTTTTGGGAGGTCCTTTCTCATAGCTCTGGGACTTGGGGATGCCTAACAAAATTGGCCGGCAGTAGAGTCAGGACGGATCAAAAAAGAGACAGACAGACAGACAGACAGACAGAGTACTTCATAACAGCTTGTAACTTACAGGACTCTCTGCTACAATATATGGTGGTGCCCCTGAGCCGGCTGGTTTAGAGGGCTTTAAAAGGTCGAGAGGCACAATCTTTTGACCAAATGGAACTGTTAGGAAGGGCTGTAGCTTTCTGGTAGAGGCCCAGCTTTGAACAGAAAAGGTCCCTAGTTCAATCCATGGCGTCTTGTATCTTTTTAATAATTTAATCATTTTTAATTTAATATTTTTAATTATCTTTTTTAATGATAATTTTTATTTGGTTTTACAAATATAAAATTAAAACAATCCAAATTACATATCCATATTTAGAGATTTCTCCAAATCTCTCAACTTCCCACCTTCCCTTCCCTGGGTCTTATTGTGCACCCTCTCAACTGCATGTTATATCATAATGCATATTTTGTATCTCTCCATATTGCCCATAAATTTCGCTACGTTACAAAGGTTATTAATATCCTGCCAATGTTTTCATCTGATTACAGTGATCTCCTAGATAATTTTTTTTCAAAGGGCTCTAGGCACATTCCATTGTGCATTTGAAATTCTCTTCATTCATTCAACGGTGGTTTGAATTTAAAGGAAGTTTTCTCCTACCCTAATGCTTGGGCATAAACATCGTTCTACCTCGTAGAAAATGACAACAATGTTTTTAATGTAATTTCCCCCCCATTCTTTGTTGAAGTTTTGGTCTGCTTGGTTCCTGAGCTTTCCAGTCAGATTTGCCATTTCGGCATAGTCCAATAGCTTGGTTTGCCATTCCTCTCTGGTAGGGACTCTGTCTTCTTGCCATCTCTGGGCTAGCAACATCCATGTGGCTGTTGCAGCATACATGCAAAGTACAGTGGTACCTTGGGTTAATTTGTTCTGGAGGTCCGTTCTTAACCTGAAGCTGTTCTTAACCTGAGGTACCACTTTAGCTAATGGGGCCTCCCACTGCTGCCGCACGATTTCTGTTCTCATCCTGAAGCAAAGTTCTTAACCCAAGGTACTATTCCTGGGTTAGCGGAGTCTGTAACCTGAAGCGTCTGTAACCCGAGGTACCACTGTATTTTCTGTTCCTTTCGAATGTCGGTACCTAGAATTCCTAATAAAAAAAGCTGCTGCTGCTTCTTTTTTACAAAAGTTATTTTAAACATTTTTTTCAATTCATTATATATCATTTCCCAGGATGCCTTATATGTCCACCACATACACCACATATGAGAGAAGATGCCTTCCTTCATGGCGTCTTGTATCCAGGTGGGGCTGGTAATGTCCCCTGCTTGAAATACAGGACAACTGTTACCCGCCAGTGTTGACATTGGTTTAGCTCCATGGCCAAGTGGTCCGCCTGCATAAATTAGCTTCCTCTGTTCTGTGGATGAAGAAGAAGAGTTTGGATTTGATATCCCGCTTTATCACTACCCTAAGGAGTCTTAAAGTGGCTAACATTCTTCTTTCCCTTCCTCCCCCACAACAAACACTCTGTGAGGTGAGAGGCTGAGAGACTTCAGAAGTGTGACTGGCCCAAGGTCACCCAGCAGCTGCATGTGGAAGAGCGGGGAAGCGAACCCGGTTCACCAGATTACAAGTCCACCGCTCTTAACCACTACACTACACTGGATCTCTCTCTACATTCAGGACAAAAAAGCTCTCTCTGGCTGCTGTTGGAAACAGAACCAGGCTAGATGGACTTTGGGGTAATACAGCAATACAGCTGTTCTGGTCTCCCTGAATTCAGGACTGTATTTAAGTTTGCACGGCTGGCCTTGCCCAGTCACAACCAGACAAGATATAGCTCAAAAGGTGCCAGCTAGGTGAAGGAATGCCCAGGCTGCTTTGGCTGGCTTCCAGCTCTCTGAGAGTTCGGGTGTGTGCTGTCAGTTCTTCAGTGCCACCAGATCTTTCTGTGGCACACCCCCAGTCGGTGCAGGGGGTGGGGGCTGGGATCATCCATGCTTGGGAACATTGTGAACTTGGATTCATGTGCTCTCAGCAGCATGCGCCACCCCCGCTGTTTCTCTGTGCTGTTTTTGTCAGTTTGGGGCATGTGTGTTATCCAGGAGTGTAGCCAGAGCTGTTATCTTCTCAGCCCAAGCTGCTTTCCTTGCCAGCCGAGTTCTAAGAAATGGCACAGATCTCAACGGCCAACGTACAGAGTTCGCATGAAGAAGGGGAGAAAAACACAAGAGACCACCAAAAAGAGACAGATACCACAGATTCCACTGTGTGTTTGTTTGTTTGTTTGTGTTTGTATTTCATGCAGCCTTGGGCTGAAGCCCTTCTAGGTAAGGAGGAGTTCCATTCAGGTTTATCTAGCATGAAAATATCAGTGGTCTGTAGGAACAGAATGGCGGTCATCCTTCATCTCACAGCAGGCCAGTGAATTGTCCAGAGAACATTTTGTTAATGGTTGGCAAGGAACTGGAAGAATGACACGCTTCCAGAGATTACTGACTGGCAGATACTCATGTTAGAATATCTACAATTAGCAAAACTGACAGGATCAGTTAGAGGAATATCGAAACGAAAAACAACTAGAGAATGGATAATATTCAAGATCTATGTAAAACTTTATGGTACAAATAATTCCATATTAGCAGAAATTGAGTGATATTTGTAAAGAAAACGATTAGAGGAATATATACAAAGCAGAAATGATATTATACAATACAAATCTGTGTTAAAAAAGAATGTTTATATTACAGTATAATGAGAAGGATGGGAAGTATTGTGTCGAACATTTTTATTGTGTAAATAATATTGTCTTGTCCTTTCTTTTCCTCTTTTGATTTTTTTTTTTACTTCGCGTATTTGTTATTTCTTTATTTTTTCTTTCCCTCTTTTTTGGTCCTTTAAAAATTTTCTATTCTCTACATAATTTTCTTTTTTCATATGTAAAGAGATAGCATATAAAGTTTGTATAGATATGTAATTTTTTAATCAATAAAGAATAATAATAAAAAAATGGTTGGTATAATATCTTGTAAGTAAGTAAATCACGTGGATGCTGTGATAAATCTACCGGTATGTATGGAAGTGTTTAGTCTCTGCATGTTCAGTTTCTCTTCAGCATGTGTGAATCCACTTGCTTGGAACGTTTAGGGTCGGGATCGCCAACGTGGTGCCCTTGGGGTGCTGCTGTATTTTGTTGCAAGCTCCTCAGAGTGGCTAAGTACAGGAAATAAGTTGTTGTTCTTGTTCTTGTTGTTGTTCTTGTTGTTGTTACATTCCTCCAGCTCCCATCAGTCCGGCAGGGTGGACCTTGGTAATACGGCACAAGGTCAAAATCTGATCCTCTTGCATCTCAAAGCTGGCGAAAGCTGGGCAATTGCTTAGGAGATGCCAGAATTTGAACCCAGGATAGTCTGCTTGCAAAGTAGATGCTCCACTACTGAGTGAAGGCTCTTCTCATTGTGCAGAGGCCTAGCCTTACCCCCTCATGAGCACACCTATATAATGCATGCATTTGCAGGGACATTGTTGTTATTTGCAAGGGGGACGGCCACATTCACACTTGAAAAGCTAAGTGAAGTGGGCTGTTGTGCCTTCCAGGTAAGATCCTGTGATTGTTTAGCTGCACACAGGTGACAATTCCGGTAAGAAGTCTCAAATCTACCCTAGCAGAAGCCACTCCTGCCAAGCAGCGGAGGAGAAACCTCCAGCCACTTTGCAGAACAGAGAATGCTGCGGAGTCAAAAACAGTTGACTTTGGGCCTGAGCCAGCAAAGCACTCCTTACGGTTCTTGAGCAAGAATTGCCTACTCAGGATCACCAAATGCAGGTTAGTTACAGCTCAGGACGAGAAGATCCTGAGTAGGCATTATTGCACCGTAAATTTAAAGTGCATCATGGGATTCTGGTGGAAAAATAAAGTAGACCCAAACGAGACTAAAGCCAGTCTGCTCCTGCTGTAAAAGATGAGCTTCTTATTTACTCAGGGAAGCAATTCCTTTTGTGATGTGTTGTTGTTGTTTAGTCGTTTAGTTATGTCCGACTCTTCGTGACCCCATGGACCAGAGCACGCCAGGCACTCCTGTCTTCCACTGCCTCCCGCAGTTTGGTCAAACTCATGCTGGTAGCTTCGAGAACACTGTCCAACCATCTCGTCCTCTGTCGTCCCCTTCTCCTTGTACCCTCCATCTTTCCCAACATCAGGGTCTTTTCCAGGGAGTCTTCTCTTCTCATGAGGTGGCCAAAGTATTGGATCCTCACCTTCAGGATCTGTCCTTCCAGTGAGCACTCGGGGCTGATTTCCTTCAGAATGGATAGGTTTGATCTTCTTGCAGTCCATGGGACTCTCAAGAGTCTCCCCCAGCACCAGAATTCAAAAGCATCAATTCTTTGGCGATCAGCCTTCTTTATGATCCAGCTTTCACTTCCATATATCACTACTGGGAAAACCATGGCTTTAACTATATGGACTTTTGTTGGCCTGTTGTCTTTGTCCATGGAGTTTTCTTGGCAAGGATACTGGAGTGGCTTGCCGGTTCCTCCTCCAGGTGACCACCTCATGAGAACTTCAGTACTTTGAGAACCTCATGAGAACTTCCTCCAGTACTTTGGCCACCTCATGAGAAGAGAAGACTCCCTGGAGAAGACACTGATGCTGGGAAAGATGGAGGGCACAAGGAGAAGGGGGCGACAGAGGACGAGATGGTTGGATAGTGTTTTCGAGGTTACCAGCATGAGTTTGACCAAACTGTGGGAAGTAGTGGAGGACAGAGGTGCCTGGCGTGCTCTGGTCCAGGGGGTCACGAAGAGTCGGACACGACTAAACGACTAAACCACAACAACAACTTTTTTTGTTGGCAAGGTGATGTCTCTGCTTTTTAAGATGCTGTCTAGGTTTGCCATCGCCTTTCTCCCAAGGAGAAATGTGATGTAGTGGGTTTGAAAAGTGCTTTCTGAATTGTTTGGAATTTTTTTTCCTGAAATTTTTAAAGGGTTACTATTTCCTTGGATTCTTGTTCTTCCTGATAAATGCATCCAATATGGACCACCCCCTGGCCTGGTTCTGGCGCTTCCTGTGGCTGCTGCCGCTGCTGCATTTGCCTCCGCGAGGAGCCCAGGCCTTCTTCCCCAACTTCTGGTCTCGCACCATGGCTTTCACCTGGGACTCCGTCACCCACCAGGACATGACCGAGGAGGCCATCCTCAACGTCACCTTGCGCATCTTTGTGGAGATGCAGCATCCCGCCAAGGGGAACGTATCCGGGAGGAGGACTTCAAGGTGAGAGGAATGGCGGGTCTGGACACCATCAGGGCTGCTCTAGTCACAAACAGAGGTCTTTCCATATGAACCTTCCCGGACCCTGAGATCATCTTCTGAGGCCCACCTTCATGAGCCTCCTTCTCGAGAGGTCCAGAGGGTGGCAAGACGAGAACAGGGCCTTCTCTGCAGTGGCTCCCTGCCTGTGGAATGCTCTTCCCAGGGAAGTTTGCCTGGTGCCTTCATTACACACCCTTAGGCATCAGGCAAAAACTGTTCCTTTTAAACCAGGCCTTTGGTTGATCTGAATTACATCCTATGCCCTTTTAAAATGTGTTTTTTTTGTGGGGGGATTATTGGATTATTATTGTTGTTGTTGTTGTTAATTTTGTGGTTTTATAGCTTGATTTTTTTCTGCGAACCACCCTGAGACCCCAGGGTTTATGGCGCTATATAAATTTAATAAAAAAATGAAATGAAATAAAATAAAATAATGCTAGCCTAGGGGTGGGTGGGCTGATATCGTAAGTAAGCAGGAGGAGCAGCAGCTGGTGTTCCAATATCCAAGGTGCAGGTGGAACATATAATAACAATAACAATATCAATAACAATAATTTTATTTATACCCCACCCATCTGGCTGGGTTTCTCCAGCCACTCTGGGCGGCTCCCAACAGAATGTAAAAAACACAATACAGCATTACACATTAAAAACTTCCCTAAACAGGGCTGCCTTCAGATGTCTTTTAAAAGTCAGAGAGTTGCTTATTTCCTTGACATCTGATGGGAGGGCGTTCCACAGGGCGGGTGCCGAGAAGGCCCTCTGCCTGGTTCCCTGTAACTTCGCTTCTCTCAGGGAGGGAACCGCCAGAAGGCCCTCGGCGCTGGACCTCATGTAATTCCTCCGCCACTAAAACAGGCACACACAATTTATGGGTGCAGGGAGTTGTGCTGAATGAGGCCTTTGGCCCATCTACCTCGATTGGAACTGACTCTTCAGGGTTTCCTATACAGTGGTACCTCGGGTTACAGACGCTTCTGGTTACAGACTCCGCTAACCCAGAATTAGTACCTCAGGTTAAGAACTTTGCTTCAGGATGAGAACAGAAATCGCGCGGCGGCAGCAGGAGGCCCCGTTAGCTAAAGTGGTACCTCAGGTTAAGAACAGTTTCAGGTTAAGAATGGAATGGCACCTAGGAAGAAGCCAGTTATACCTCATTCGCACCCGTGCTGCCTGTACCCACTGCCCTGGTTCCCACTGTTACAGATGAAAGGGTGCTCCTGATCTGATTTCCCTCCCCGTCTCTCACCTAGGGCAGGACCCTCCTGGCTGATGACATCTTCGCTGCTTTCTATGGTCCTGAGGTGTCAGCTAAGCGCTTCCGCGGGGCTATCGCCCAGGTGGCCAACGCCAATGCCGCCATGGACTTCACAAACACCACGCGGGACGACCCTGTGCTCCACTTCGATTCTGAGCTCATCCACTCCACGAACAGCTGGCTGTTGCAAACCCGCAAAGAGATCCTCCAAGCTGTGCGTTCAGAGCAGTATGTCATCGCCCGGGGCAAGCTGGGGCAGCTGCTCCATACCTTACAGGTGCTTACCAAAATGTAGGAGAAGCTGGAAGGAGGGGAAGGTGGCATTTGGCTTTGAGGTAGAGAACTTAACATGTTTGGCCCTAGCCCTGATTTGATCCAGCCACCTTTGTCAAAAGCAGGGTTGAAATCCACTCTAGGGGGGCTCTGTTCATTGCAGAATTTGCACCGTAGTAGATCTGCAGCTCGTGGGTGGCGCTGTGGGTTAAACCACAGAGCCTAGGACTTGCCGATCAGAAGGTCGGCAGTTCAAATCCCCGCGATGGGGTGAGCTTCTGTTGCTCGGTCCCTGCTCCTGCCAACATAGCAGTTCGAAAGAACCTCATAGTGCAAGTAGATAAATAGGTATCGCTCCAGCGGGAAGGTAAACGGTGTTTCCGTGCACAGCTCTGGTTCTCCAGAAGCGGTTAGTCATACTGGGCACATGACCCGGAAGCTGTACGCTGGCTCCCTCAGCCAATAAAGCAAGATGAGCTCCGCAACGCCAGAGTCAGTCACGACTGGACCTAATGGTCAGGGGTCCCTTTACCTTTACTTTAGAGCTGCAGCACAGAGTTCCCATAATTCATCACCTGCGCCAAAGTTAAAATTCCTCTCAGGTTATAGCCGTAATCTTTGTTTTGTAAATGAAAGGCACCAGAACTATCAGGGCACAGCTGCTGCACTCCTTGACAGCAGCCTCGGCAGGTATATGGAATATGTGAAAATGGTATGATTTCTGTAGAGTCATATTACAATTTTCTGCATACCCATTTCCCTTTAACTCACTTCCTGCACTTGCATTCCTTCTGCAAAGTACAAGAAAGACTTGTTATTTATATTATTTATATCTACTGCCTTATGAAAATGTGATTCACCATTTCTCCCCTATTGTGTTTTATTCTTTTCTAAGCCATGGGCAAAATTAAGAGAGTATTTTAAAAAACCCCAAAAAGGGCAAAAATATTCCATGATGTTGTCCCAGCCAATGTTAACCTTTTGGGTTAAAAAATGTCCCATGCAGGCCAAACAGCAACTGAGAGAAGCAGATAAGATTTGTTCCTACATGCAACATGCGCGGCTTTGTTTTGCATTGTTTTATATTTTATTGTATTATGTTATGTGACTAAAGGATGCTGTGAGTGGTTTTTGAAAATCCTTTGTCCCCCATACTGTGGTCCTGATTAGATTAGGCTCTCTGCACCTGCTATTTACATGAGGGAAACTCTCCCAATAATATATTCTGGGTCTCAAGATGAGCTGTGGGCCAGCTGTAGCCCTCTAGCAGTGAGGGGAAGGACCTCTGTCCAAGCTCAGAGGAACTAGTGTTTTTAGTCACACAATCAAGGTGGTGGGGTAGAATCCTCTGCTTAAGTCCTCTTCTTTCCACCCTTTCTACTGCATTTGCTCATATCACTCTTACTTTTATTATTGCTTGCCTTCCCAGCTTATTTTCCCACTGTCTAAACTTTTATTTTCTTCTCTACCCATCCAAATCTGTTGTGCCTTAGCAGATCCTGCAAACCTGTTTACAATCCTTTTGCAAGTACACAATAAACATTTCCCATTCTTTTTTAAAATTTCTTGATATTCTTGATTTCTAAGTTCCCCCAGTTAATGTCACCATTTCAGCATAGTCCATTAACTTGGTTTGCCAGTCGTCTTTGGTTGGGACCGCTTCCTCTTTCCATCTTTGGGCTAACGGTACAGGCGGCCGTCGTAGCGTAAACAAGTCTCCACTAATAAGCTTCCGTTCCGTTTAGGATTTCTACAGTCACAGCAACTGGATTGAACTTGGCCATCGGAAGATACACCCACACCTCCTACAACCAGGCCATGAAATCAAGTCCATCGCAGAAGGTGTGGTTTTAGAACATGATGATGATGATGATGTTCCAGCACAACTTGGGGAGTATTTGTTCTCTTGGTTCCTGGGCTGGGTGAGGTTGGAGGCTTGGTGCAAAAACTCCTCAGGGAAGAGAAACTGAGGCCTGTGCTATGTTGTGTCTTTTGTTTCATCTGTAGGGTGAACCCAGGACTCCTGGGTCCCTGGCTTGCTTGCTATCTTAGGCAGTGGATAGACCAGGTGATTTTAGACCCTGAACTAAAATTACACATACGTGTGTGTATTGTGCGCACTAACACTCACACACAGACACAGTCTTTAGACAGCCATGTGTATTACCAACTTACACAGCAGTTACATTTCAGGGGTAGCACATAAAGCCAAAATGACACATAATAAAAACACATTTTCCCTGTACCTCCAAACACTCTCCCAGTGTGAGTGCAACGGCGGGTGGGACTGCTGACATCCCCCTGTCCCAGATGCCCACCTCCTATTTTTCTTTTTTACATTTTTTCCCAATGAAACACATAAAGCTGAATTCACAAGTTGCAATACGTAACTTGCAAGTCGACTGTACGTGCTTGTAAAGCACATCGTTCCTCTTCTTCCCGCTGCCTGCCTGTGCTTTGCAATTGCTTCTACATTCTTGACAAGCTGAAGCAAAAAAAAAAAAAAAAAGGTTTGCCAATCCTTCTGAAAAAAAGACATACTCTGAGCATATGCAGCTTCGTCTTTTTTAACTCACTTAAATCACAAAGGTAAAAAGGTAAATTTAAAGGACTCCTGGATGGTTAAGTCCAGTCAAAGGCGACTATTGGGTTGCGGCGCTCATCTCGCTATCAGGCTGCAGGAGCCAGTGTTTGTCCACAGACAGTATTCTGGGTCATGTGGCCAGCAGGACTAAACTGCTTCTGGCGCAACAGGACACCGTGATGGAAACCAGAGTGCATGGAAACGCCATTTACCTTCCCGCTGCAATGGTACCTATTTATCTACTTGCGCGGGTGTGCTTTCAAACTGCTAGGTTGGCAGGAGCTGGGACAGAGCAACGGGAGCTCACCCCATCACGGGGATTTGAACCGTCAACCTTCTGATTGGCAAGCCCAAGAGGCTGAGTGGTTTAGACCACAGTGCTATCCATGTTCCACACTTAAATCATTCCACCATCAGAACTGCAGGATTAAATGAAATTGACTTCTGATGCTAGACACATTTATTTAGGAATAAGCACAATCTTCTTGTAGGAAATACCTTTTACAAGATGATGTCTGGAGCTATACAGATGCCCAGCTGGCCACCTCCGAAGAACGGATGCTGTGGTGTCGAGAACCAGCCTTGGAGGACCCAGGAATATCCATGCCACCTGAGGTGTCCAGGCCTCGGGGCCTTTTAGCTGCTGCCCCCATCACCCGCTGCTTTTCGGCTGGTCCTGTAAGGGCTCAGGAATTCACTCTCAAGCTCCAGCCCAGGAATAGGCAAACTCGGCCCTCCAGATGTTTTGGGACTACAACCCCCATCATCCCTAGCTAACAGGACGCAGTGGTCAGGGATGATGGGAATTGTAGTCTCAAAACACCTGGAGGGCTGAGTTTGCCTAAGCCTTCTCCAGCCCTTGCAGCAGACCCCGTTAGGCTTTGTTGAGGTAGGGCTTATCGAGACACATTGTTTTGTTCTTAAAACTGATTGGTTTTTATCTACATTTTAATAATTTAGTGCCTGCTGTTTTTGCTTGACAACCTTTTGCGTAAACTGTTCGGAGCTTGCTTTGGGTAAAATAAAATAATAAATAAAAATAAGTAGAATAAAATAAATAGGCTTTCTCTCCTTCTCCCCTCCAGCCGGCGTACGAACCTGCACGGACTGCTCTGACTGGACGTGTCGGGGAAACCTCTTGGAAGGTCTCCTTGAGAAGGGGCTTTTGACCACCGGTTTCTATGGCGCCCAACCTGAAAAGCCCATCGGTATGCTTTTGTTGCCAGAATACAGCAGGAGGCTCTGTTTGAGGCCTGGGGTTTTGTGTCTGTGTGTTTAGTACTAAAGACTCAAAGGGCTTTGTTCATCTTCATTTGTATTCCTCCTGCGTCTTCCAGCAGTTCACACTGAAACCCTTTAGAATTTAATGGAAATTCGTTTTAGAGAAGCGCTTTTTCTCTCAGGTTTCTTCTCACAGGATTGGTTTCTCTTTCCTGCCCCACTCTGACAGCTTCTTCTTGTTTTAATGCATCAGGCTGCCAACTTTTGCATTTAAACATTCTGACAAGTTCAGCTCGGTGTCCGGAGAGTGTGTAAAGGTGTTGCCTTCATGGTGGGAACTAGCAACTTTTTGTTTTCCTTTTCCTCTTTGTTGCTTTTGGGCCTGTGGAAAACGTCTTTTCCCACCCCACCCCCTGCCCTCAAGACAAGGACCAGCTTTTCAAAGGAACCTTTGCAAAGAGCGACAGGATTCTTCTGTGCCCCTGAAGGGTATCACTGTCTGAATAATAAGAATAAGAATGCCGTATTTTTCGCACCATAGGGCGCACCGGGCCATAGGGCGCACCTAGTTTTTAGACGGGGAAATCAATAAAAAAATCTCCCCCCCCCCAGTCCCAAAGAGCAGCGTACAGGCTGCGCACAACGTCTCCCTGCCGGAGGGATTGCGCGCGGCTATGGCACAAGCCAAGGCAGCCAGCGGGATGAATCGCACTGGCTGTTTTGGCTTCCTCTTTAGCCCCACGCCACCTCTCCCTGCCGGGAGAGGCTGCGCAGGGCTAAAGAAGCCATAGCCCCGTGCAGCCTCTCCCTGCCGGAGGGGTTGCGCGCGGCTATGGCACACACCTGCATTCGCTCCATAGGACGCACACACATTTCCCCTCAATTTTTGGAGGGGAAAAACTGTGTCCTATAGAGCGAAAAATACGGTACATTATAGGGAAATGGCAGCTCAAAACACTGAACACTTTACACCCCTGGGGACACACGGTGAAGCTGAATGTTGGAATATTCGGGGCAGATAAAAGGCAGGGCTTCCTTCACACAGCGCGAAGTTAAATTATGGGATTCGCTCTTGTAGGTGTCAGTGATGCCTATCAATGGCTGCCAACCATAATGGCATGTTCTCTCTTCATGGGTGGAGGCAGTAAGCCTCTAGATACCAGGTGCTGCAAACAGCAGGCAGGGAGAGAAGCTATTGTGCTCAGGAGCTGCTTACAGGCTTCCCATGGACAGGTGGTTGGTCATTGTTGTTGGTTTTCCCCCTCTCTCCCCCCCCCTGCATTTATATTTTATTGAAAACCTTACAATAGATTAAAATGAATAAGAAAAAGAGAAGGAGGAGGATAACCCTAACAAAATACCGTTAGAATGTAATTAGGGTTCCAAAACTATGTCATGTATATGAACATAGGCCTTCTGGCGATTCCTTCCCTGCGAGAAGTGAGGTTACGGGGAACCAGCCAGAGGGCCTTCTCAGTAGTGGCGCCCACCCTGTGGAACGCCCTCCCATCAGATGTCAAGGAAATAAACAACTACTTGACTTTTAGAAGACATCTGAAGGCAGCCCTGTTTAGGGAAGTTTTTAATGTTTGATGTTTTATAATATTCTGTTGGGAGACGCCCAGAGTGGCTGGGGAAACCCAGTCAGTCTGGCGGGATATAAATAATAATTATAGATCAGTTCAGCAGTCGAACTATGGTTTTGATAAATGCTTCCCAAATACCATTAAATCTGTCAATACGTGATCTTCATTGAAAAGCAGTCTGTTCAAGAGTTGTCGTCTCTCTATGAATCAAAGGAAGCTATATTTTTTAGTCCTTCCAGTGTATCAATATTAATCTTTTTTGCAGGTGTAAAGTGCCTGAGATCAGGTTGGTCACTGTGAGAGCAGATTGCTGGGCGTAGGCTGGCCACTAGCAGGGTACATCTTAGGTTCATACGTTCCCCTTTTTTACTGCCACAGTTATCTAAAAATATGGAATTCTGTCTGGGCCTGTGAAAATTCCTTGTTGCTTGGTTGGCAATTCTGTTTTTTTATTATACTATGTGATCCAGTGGCAAATGGGGCTTTTGGGTGTCCAGTGCAGTAGATGACGGTCCTTTTAAGCAATTCTCTCTTGCTCCACAAATTTCAGTTGGGTTGGCAGTCTTATTTTCTATCTCTCAGCCCTGTTTAGGTAAAGGTAAAGGGACCCCTGACCATTAGGTCCAGTCGTGGCTGACTCTGGGGTTGCGGCGCTCATCTCGCTTTATTGGCCGAGGGAGCCAGCGCACAGCTTCTGGGTCATGTGGCCAGCATGACTAAGCCGCTTCTGGCAAACCAGAGCAGTGCACGGAAACGCCGTTTACCTTTCCACTGGAGTGGTACCTATTGATCTACTTGCACTCTGACATGCTTTCGAACTGCTAGGTTGGCAGGGGCAGGGACCGAGCAACAGAAGCTCACCCTGTCACAGGGATTCAATCTGCCAACCTTCTGATTGGCAAGTCCTAGGCTCTGGGGTTTAATCCACAGCGCCACCCGCCCTGTTTAGGGAAGTTTTTAATGTGTGACATTTTAATGTATTTTTAATCTTTGTTGGAAGCCGCCCAGAGTGGCTGAGGAAACCCAGCCAGATGGGCAGGGTACAAATAATAAATTATCATCATCATCATCATCATCTTCTTCTGTTTGCTTATTTCCCCGTCTTCCAGGAAAGTGCAGCCATGGCGGGAGATTTGACGACAGCCGCCACAGGGAGCCTCGGGGTGGTATCAATAAGGACAGCTCCTCGTTCTTGTTCTCGCCTCATAATTACCTGCACAGGGAAGCCGCTGCCGTAGCCCAGGAGGCCTCAGTACACTTCCTGGAGAAGCTCTGGCGGGAAATAAAGAGCAAGCCGTTTATGAGGTAATGTTGTATACATAATGCTTCTTGCTCTGCTCACGTCTGCCTGTCTGCGATTGATGGATTTCTTTGTCGCTTCCCATTCAAATGAATCCCAAACAACAGACGACGACAACTTGTAGAACGTCGTGCTTAAAGCACGAGTTATAAACACAACGAACAAATCATCAATAAAACCGGGATCCTTTGGGAGAAAGAGTGAGGGATAAATATAATATTTATGATCTTCAAAACTATGTGAGGGAATACAGCCAGTGAAAATAAGCCGAACATTACTGTGTTCCTGCCCCCCCTCTTTCTCCTCAGTCCATTAAAATGTTCCCAACCCTTCGTCAACTCCAAGTGAATAATTAACATTGACGGCTGTACGTCATACATTTGCATTTGAGGTAGTAGGGTTCTCTGTCTTTGGTGCCAAGGAGTAGAAATGCAGAACTGTGCAGCCAAAGATGTCTGATCAAACTGATGTTGATGTTTCTCCTGACACCTCTTTCTTCTTGGGACTCTTTTTCTTTTTGGCAGTATTGAATCCCCGGTCTACAGGCTCACAACCTTTTTTGCCCGAGGCGGGGCTTGAACCCATAACCTTGAGATTAAGAGTCTCACGCTTTACCGACTGAGCTATTCCAAACAAAACAAATTTTGCTGGCAGCAGTGGGATTCGAACCCGTGCCCCCCGAAGAGACTGGAGCCTTCATCCAGCACCTTAGTGGCTCTGGCTCCAGGGGGAGGGGGGAAACAGAGTTATCACTGATGCAACTGAGCCCACGGGTGCCACATTGACAGTTCTAGGGACAATGACTAAGCCACAGCTCTTGCCATTTTGTTCCCAGGCTACTGGATATCAGTCCAGCTACGGGCTTGAGCTTTGTTGTGGACACCACTGGAAGCATGGGCGAGGAGATCAGTGCAGCGAAGCGCCAAGCCTGGGAGATCATCAGGGCACGCCGAGGCACCCCCCAGGAGCCAGATTTCTATCTCTTAGTCCCTTTCAACGACCCTGGTGAGATGGCTGATGAGGGCCCATTTTCAGTGGGGAGGGAAGTGTTTTTTTAAAAAATATTGCATACAGTGGTACCTCGGCTTAAGAACTTAATTCGTTCTTTAGGTCCGTTCTTAACCTGAAACTTTTCTTAACCTGAGGTACCACTGTAGCTAATGGGGCCTCCTGCTGTCGCTGTGCGATTTCTGTTCTCATCCTGAAGCAAAGTTCTTAACCCGAGGTACTATTTCTGGGTTAGCGGAGTCTGTAACCTGAAGCGTCTGTGACCCGAGGTACCACTGTAGTTGTTAAATGTGAGGAAAGGCCGTATCTGGCTCAGTGGTAAAGCAGCATCTGTTTGCATGAAGAAGGTCAAAGAATCGGAACCACAGAGTTGAAAAGGGACCACAGGGGTCATCTAGTCCAACCCCCTGCAATGTGGGAACCTTTTGCCCAACATGACACTCAAACCCACGGCCCTGAGGTTAAGAGTTCTCATGATCTACCAACTGAGGTATCCTCTTAGGGAAAGAAGTGTTTCCTGTCCCAAGAGTCAGTCCCCAGGACCTGTAGGTAGGGCTGGTAGAAACCTCTCCTCTGAAACCCTGGAGAACCACTGCTCAATGTAGATGGAACTGACCTTGTTGGACCCAGTGATCTGACACAGTATTGATTGATTTATTAAATTTATAGCTTACCCTTCCAGAGGGGCCAAGAGGGGCCAATAAGAAGAGATAAAGCAATAAGAACATCTTTAAAAAAAATAGAGATCTCAAATTTGAAGGGTTTATGGTACCTGCCTAATCCTTGAGGAGGAGACCTCCTTCCAAAATTGTACAGAACAGAGCTCCTGATAAGATGGTGTCTGCAAGAGACCCTCTCCTGCAGGACTTTGTGGTTGTTTGGCTATACAGTGGTACCTCGGGTTACATACACTTCAGGTTACATACGCTTCAGGTTACAGACTCCGCTCACCCAGAAATAGTACCTCGGGTTAAGAACTTTGCTTCAGGATGAGAATAGAAATCGTGCTCCGGCGGCGCGGCGGCAGTGGGAGGCCCCATTAGCTAAAGTGGTGCTTCAGGTTAAGAACAGTTTCAGGTTAAGAATGAACCTCCGGAATGAATTAAATACTTAACCCGAGGTACCACTGTACAGTGGTACCTCTAGTACCTCTAGTTATGAACTTAATTCGTTCCAGAGGTCCATTCTTAACCTGAAACTGTTCTTAACTAGAGGCGTGCTTTCACTAATGGGGCCTCTTGCTGCCGCTGCACCGCCGGCACACAATTTTGATTCTCATCCTGAGGCAAAATTCTCAACTCGTGGTAACTCTTCCAGGTTAGTGGATTTTGTAAGCACTTGCAGAGGAAGAGGGGGGCGGTTGGAGCGCACCACCCCCGGCAGCACGATCCCGGTGGCGTTCTGTCGCGGCTGCCCCCCCTGCCCGTGCTAGACGCCCCACCCCCACAGGAGGCGCCCCCAACCCCTGGGACGTGTGCCAGTCCTGCGCTGCTTGCTCTCTGCCCCCGGTGCCGGAGCATGAAGCTCCACCACTGGTTTTAACCTGGTGTTTGTAACCTGAGGCATTTGTAACTTGAGGTACCACTGTATAAGGCAGCCTTTCTCAACCTGTGGGTCCCCAGATGTTGTTGGACTACAACTCCCATCACCCCTAGCTAGCAAGGCCAGAGCTCAGGGATGATGGGAGCTGTAGTCCAACACCATCTGGGGACCCACAGGTTGAGAACCACTGGTATAAGGGGTGAGGCTATCATTCATGCATCCCTGGTATAGGGCCTTTATATCCCAGAACCAACACCTTGAACTTGGCCTTGTAGATGATTGGCAGCCAGTACAATTCTTCCCACAGTGGAGTAATGTGTTGGTCCCAGTGAGCCGTTGAGCTTTTGTGTTTTGCATCAGCTAGCCGCAGCTTCCAGACCAACCTCAAGGGCAGCCCCACGTCAACTGCATTGCGGTAATCAAGGCTGGAGCGTACCAGCTTGTGGACAACAGTGGTCCAGCTATCCCGGTCCAGAAATGGCCACACCTGCCTTACCAGCTGAAGCTGGCAGAAGGCATTCCTAATCACTGAGGTTGCCTGGGTCCCTAGTGACATAGATGGATTTGGAAAGCACCCAGCAGGCTACGTACCTACCTTTTCAGTGAATTGCACTTAAAGGCAATTAAAAGCAGTATAATGTAAAGTACAAAGTCTTAACATAAGAATAAGGCACATGAAACGTCAATAAAACAGTCAGCTGAGCCGTACCATGCCAGTTTGTTGGAGAAAGTTCTGCCTGCATAAAAATGTGTTTGCTGCTAGAGGGAGCAAGGATCTTGGAGAGAGCCAGTGTGGTGTAGTGATTAAGAGCGGTAGTCTCATAATCTGGTGAACTGAGTTCGCTTCCCCGCTCCTCCACCTGCAGCTGCTGGGTGACCTTGGGCCAGTCACACTTCTCTGAAGTCTCTCAGCCCCACTCACCTCACAGAGTGTTTGTTGTGGGGGAGGAAGGGAAAGGAGAATGTGAGCCGCTTTGAGACTCCTTAAAGGGAGTGAAAGGCAGGATATCAAATCCAAACTCCTCCTCTTCTTCTTGGAGACTGGGCAAGACTGGCTTCTCTCGACAAAGGACCTCTAGAGACTGGGATGAGGTGACCAGAAAGCCCCCTCTTTGTCTCCTGTCAACCCCCCTTCAGATGTTGGCAGCTAGAAAGAAGGGCCTCTCTCAAAGATCTTCAAGACCTGGGCAGGCAGTTTTGGGGAACACGGTCTTTCTATGTAGCTTCCTGACTTGTATGAGTTTTAGCTGGGAGAAACCTCTGACTCTTCCAGATGTTGCAGAACTACAGCTCCCATCAGCCCCAGCAAGCACAGCCATTGGCAAGGGATTATGGGAGCTGTAGTTCAGCAACATCTGGAAGGGCACTAGGCTAAGAGGCAACAGTTAAGCAGGTTCAGATTGTTCCACGGTGCTTAAATGTGAGTTGGCAGGTGGGAACGCTGCATAGAAAATGCCATCCAAGATCTGTTTATAGGCCCAGGTAAATGTCAGGCCAGGAAGGATTAAGTCCTCAGGAATACAAGGCTTAAACTATCAAAATTAGTCGTCATGAGGAAAAGCACAGCTAAGAACAGAATAGCCAGTTTATTCGGTGGCAGTGAAGCCAGGAGCCAGATAAGGAAACTATTGCAGTGACATTATAATGGAGGCCTTATATTTGCCTTCTGTTGGCATTTGATTAGATGCTAGGAGAGGATATATTTATTAGATACTACCCTTCCTTCCTCACATTAGTGAGTTCATCAGTGTGCCATTCCTTTGCAGCTGCTCAGGGAAGCTAGTTTACCCTTTTAGTGTTGGTAATCCAGAACGCTTTAAGGCAGACTGGATTTTCCTGTATCTCCCCCTTTTCTCCCCCTTAAAATAACAATCACACACAAACAGTCTTATAAGAGGCAAAAATAGTATCTGCTCACTCAGAATAAGTCTTAAAGAATGACAGGTACATTAGCTTGATGCAGGCAGACTTAAAATGGGAATTAAGTTACAAAGGCATACTAGGTCCAGCTTAAAAATGGAGTCTGAGCTTAAGCCGGTCACGACTGGACCTAACGGTCAGGGGTACCTTTACCTTTAAAATATTATAATATAATATAATTATAATATAATATAATATTTATAGCTGTTTAATTCTTACACCTGTTAGTTGATGCTGGCTCATACATGCATGTCCATCCCTTGGAGACTACAGGTTGATGTGTAGATTTGAACTTACGAATCTGCTGTTGCAGGTCAAAAAAGAAATAACTTGAATCATAGTGCCTCTGATGCCATGTTGTTCCATTGAGACAGTTCATTTATTCATTTGACATGAATCGGCATTCATGCTCTTCTCTCTCTCTCTCTCTCTCTCTCTCTCTCTCTCTTTCTCTCTCATCCCTCCAGAGTTTGGCCCTGTCCATAAGACCAGCGACCCGGATGAGTTCTGGAAAATCCTCAACACCATTAGCCCTCTGAAAGGTGGGGACGAGCCAGAAATGTGCCTTTCTGCGCTTCAGGTTAGCATCCATGCGATATCTTTAAGGTCTGTGTCATTTTCTAGATCTCGGCACTGTAAGATAAATGCTGCCAAGATAAATGTTTATTCTGCAATCCTCTTCGTGAACTTGCAACCTCAAAGGAATTGTACCACCTTGATACTCTAAGGAGAATTGTACGTCTCTGCTTGTTTCTGGAAACAGCGAGGGGCAAGAACGCTCTTGGGCTCGAATCCTGCGGGCATCTGGTTGGCCACTATGAGAACAGGATGCTGGACTCGACGGGCCATTGGCCTGATCCATCACACTCTTCTGCTGTTCATATATCTCTATATCAAAGCCTTACTGCATGTGCAGAGCTAATGTGCCTGGCAGTGGCAAATGGTCAGAGAAGTGATTCTTAGGACCAGAGCCAAGCCACAACGTGAGAGAGAATGAGGAGGATTTAGGGTGTCATATAAAGAGAAGGACATTGTCAGGTGTGCGTGCAGGAGCCAGGCCCTGTGACCAATAGGACTCTGCAGGACTGGGGCCATCCTAAGTTTGTTCTGAATAGGCAAGGCGCGGCCTCACAGGTGAGGCTGATTGGTAACTCACAGCACCTGGTGGCAAGAGCCAGGAAGGGATATAAAGTCAGCATTTTCCCTTCGGCTCTTTGCTACAGCAACACGTTCCCTGCCTTGCTGCGTTTGACTCCTTGCTTCTTGATCCTTGATCCTCGGACCCCTGACTTCGTGACTCCTTGCTTCCTGCTCCTCAGACTCTTGGCTTTCTGACTCCTGGCTTCTGGACTCCCGTTCCTGCTCCCACCCCACCATCTTGCCCCCGGTCTCGACATCCCCAGCTGGGACTTTGATCGCCCGTGACAGACATGCCCATTTTTTTTTAGTTTTAATCTGGCGAAGTCAACCTTCTCTAGCTGATCTGCTTCACGTGAATGTCATAACTGTAAGGAGATAGAAGTTTAGGGCATTTTCCTAAAGAAGAGGATTTAAAGGGGCACTTGCACATAATTAATTTGTAATGTGTAAGTGCTTGTCTTTGTCAGGGGCTGGTCTGGATCGGAAGATGCAATCACAGGGAGATCTGATCCTAAAAGAAGAAGAGGGGGAATATCCCCCCCCCCCCGGAGTCCAGCATTTCCAGAAGCAGAGAAATGGGCAGACACAGAAGCTGCAAAGTTGAGAGAGGAGCTTCCCAGCTGTGAGATAGTAGCTAAGCAACCAGAAGGGAGGGAGCAGCTGGGCAATACATCAGTTGAGAGTGAAGGGGACCCCTCCCTCCCTCCGAACTCGGAGGTCCAAGCGTGTCACAGAATAAAGGTGACATGGGGGGGGGGACACTGCTGAAAATTCTGTTCCACCTTAAGGAACAGACATGTGGAATTGTTGCATGTCACATGTCTGTTTACATTCCGGCACAGTATGCTGGGAACTTCCGTTTGTGTATAGCTTTTGTTTTTCCCGTTCTCTCTGAGACGACATGAGAGAGAGACGACATGCTTCTTTGTCCTGATTTATGATTAATAAAATCTGTACTTATAGTATGACTTCACAAGCCTCACACCTATTCTGTAGTACATTCTGCTAATAGCGTGCCCTGGCTTTTGAAGTCCAGGTCGCTGATTTACGTCAAAGCACGGGCCGACGGATGGAGACAGCACAGCTGGGGCTTGCCAGCTGGCCTCCCAGCCCTCTGCATGTCGACAGGAACTTCCCATTGGCACGCTTCTTGCTGCGGAAGTGGGGAGGAGTCTGAGTAGGCAACTGATATCCTTGCAGAGGGTTGCCTGTTTGTGCTTGCAACATAATGCTGTAATAAAAGGGCTATCCGTCTACCAAATGCTCGTTAATTCTTATTGGAGAGCTACCAGAAGAGTTAGGGGAACTCCTGTACTTGATAGTCTTGAACCTACAAAATGGAGAGCCTGTTTGGAGCCAAAGCAACCAGCCATAAGCTCTTCCAGGGTTTTTCTTTGGCTGTTATTTATCGCCAAGGAGGTGAACGCTGTCCTTGGTTCAACAGATAGGAATCTCACCTGTCCTTGTCCGCTTCTCCAGCTTGCCCTCCAGAACTCACCGCGGTACTCCGAGATCTTTGTCTTTACTGATGCATCCGCTAAAGATGCACACCTGAAGAACAGCGTGGAAGCCCTCATCCAGGAACAGAAATGCAAGGTGGGCTGGGCTGTTTGCTTTTCATGATGCTCGATTTTGAAAAACACTGATAAGGGATCTGAATTTTTGTTAAAGGTAAAGGGGCCCCTGACCATTAGGTCCAGTCGTGGCGGACTCTGTGGTTGCGGCGCTCATTTCGCTTTACTGGCAGAGGGAGCCAGCATACAGCTTCCAGGTCATGTGTCCAGCATGACTAAGCCGCTTCTGGCGAACCAGAGCAGCACACGGATACGCTGTTTACCTTCCCGCCGGAGTGGTACCTATTGATCTACTTGCACTTTGATGTGCTTTTGAACTGCTAGGTTGGCAGGAGCAGGGACTGAGCGACGGGAGCTCACCCCGTTGCGGGGATTCGAACCGCCGACCTTCAAATCGGCAAGTCCTAGGCTCTGTGGTTTAACCCACAGCGCCACCCGCGTAATTTTTGTTACGGTTCTGTAAAAATCCAGGGCGAAATGGGCTGTGTAATAACACAATGAAACCATCTGTCCGTGCTGCCCCCAATATAAAGCTGCTCCCTCCCTTCCACTTGACGTCAGGTGACCTTCTTAATAACAGAAGATCCCTCCAGAACGCGGGTGAAAAGGGAAACACTTTCCCCAGACCGATTCAACCTCTACATCAGCCTAGCTCACAGCTCCGGCGGCCAGATCATATTTACGGACAACGAGAACATCCAGAGGGTGTCGGAAATCATCGGTGAATCCAGCACATCTTCGGTAATGGGGGTGGAGAGGGGGAAATAGGGGGGAATGCTTATTTTTAAGTACAGTGGTACCTCAGGTTACATAGGCTTCAGGTTTCAGACTCCACTAACCCAGAAATAATGCTTCAGGTTAAGAACTTTGCTTCAGGATGAGAACAGAAATCGTGTTCCGGCGGTGTGGCAGCAGCAGTGGGAGGCCCCATTAGCTAAAGTGGTGCTTCAGGTTAAGAACAGTTTCAGGTTAAGAACGGACCTCCGGAACGAATTAAGTACTTAACCCGAGGTACCACTGTACTCGTTTAAACATTGTAAAATAAAACCCGCTGGCCTATTCATTAGGATGCTTTTCTAGTTTATAAAAAAAATGTTTTTAATTGGTTTACTTAAACTAGGGGTAGGCAACCTAAGGCCCAGGGGCCGGATGCGGACCAGTCGCCTTCTCAATCCAGCCTGCGGAAGGTCCGGGAATCAGCCTGTTTTTACACAAGTAGAATGTGTCCTTTTATTTAAAATGCATCTCTGGGTTATTTGTGGGACCTGCCTGGTGTTTTTACATGAGTAGAATGTGCGCTTTTATTTAAAATGCATCTCTGGGTTATTTGTGGGACATAGGAATTCGTTCATTCCCCCCCTCCAAATATAGTCTGGCCCACCACATCGTCTGAGGGATGGTGGACTAGCCCATGGCTGGAAAAGGTTGCTGACTCCTGATTTAAACTGATCAGCTAAAAGTTGCAGCCCTTGGGAAGTAATATAACAAAGAATCATAGAGTTGGAAGGGACCACGAGAGTCATCTAGTCCAACCCCCTGCAATGCAAGAATCTTTTGCCCGACGTGGGGCTCAAACTCACAAACCCCGAGATTCAGAGTCTCATGCTCTGCCGACTGATCTATCCCAGTCTACGTAGGGCTACACCAATCATCAGTGCAAGCCTTTCTGCTTGCCTGATGGAACAGCCTGCCCTCTCCTCCCCCCTCCCCCTCTGTCTGGGGTTTTCCTGACCCATCTCCCAGCCATCTATGGGGGGTGGGAAGAGCAGGGGAAGCAAGCCCCACTGTGTTAGCAAAAGTGTTTGTGCAGGCTTCAGCTGCTGGGGCTTGTTAGCTGAATCGTGCCCCTGATTTTGTTGTCATTTGAGAGAGATAACCAACTTGATCCTACGACGGGCATAGGCAAACTCAGCCCTCCAGATGTTTTGGGACTACAACTCCCATCATCCCTGATCACTGGTTCTGTTGGCTAGGGATGATGGGAGTTGTAGTCCCAAAACATCTGGAGGGCCGCGTTTGCCTATGCCTGTCCTACGATGTGATGGCTTCAATGACATTTTCATAATTACAGTGGTGCCTCGCAAGACGAAATTAATTCGTTCCGCGAGTTTTGTCGTCTTGCGATTTTTTTCGTCTTGCGAAGCACGGTGTCGGGAAAGTTTTGGAAAAGCTTCAAAAATCACCAAAGTCTTTAAAAACCTCAAAAAAGGCTACCACACCACGTTCTATGTGTTGTTCCTCAAAGTCAAGTCACAACTGTATTAACGGTGTTAAGAAAAAGGAAACAAACTTGCAAGCTCAAAAGGCAGCTGAAAAAAACAAAAAACCCTTTCGTCTAGCGAGTTTTTTGTCTTGCGAGGCATTCGTCTTGACCACTGTATTTTTGAAAAAGCCTTGTGAAAGACTCTGCCTTCAAGTTGCTGTGCATTCAGAAAAACACACATTCTGCTTCAAACCACACATTTTTTCACATGTTTCCCCCATCGCTTCACTCTTTCCAGGTGACCCTCTTCCGCCACCAGAAAGGGAATATCTTCAGCCCTAAGGGGTCGCAGCGGAGGAGGAGAAAGGAAGCGGTGCAGCTGGAGGATCACACCTTCTGGATTGACAGCTTGGTGGACAAAGTGGTCTTGACCATTCAGGGGGGCGTTCGGGCCTTTGAGATGCAGAACCCTGCAGGTAGCACGATCTGTGGCTTTTCAATGGCACCTGTCTGCTCTCTCAGGGTGGATTTGATTTAAATCAAATTAATTTAAATCATGGTTTAAATCACTAGACAGTAAGACTTGATTTAAATCATTTTTTTAACAGACAAACTCATTTTTGCAGGTATAATCTTAATATTTACAACCAGATGAAGGTTTCATTTTTGGAATAATAAATTTTCAGAGTAGTTTTTACAGTTATATCAAAAATTACTGATTTGGTTATACTATTAGAAATACATAGACAGATAATTATGAAATTATTGTGAGGTTTAATAAGTTAACTGTTTATTTTTGGGCAACTTTTCTGCTGTACTTTATTGGAAGGAGAAAAAATAATCATTTCCTTAATAACAATTTAAGCAATTTATTTAACTAAAACAATAACATTGTAGCGTATGTATACGTGTTTGTAAACTGATGTTGTTAAACAATTAAAAAAACAAAAACTTAGACTGAGTTTTAGCACACATGAAAAACTTAAAACAAATCTTTGTTTCCTGATGAATAACCTTTGGACTATAATGTAACTTAAATAGAAAACTATCTTTAGAAATATTTTTCCTCCAAAACCATTTTATTTTAAAAAACCAATTTAAATAAAAAACCCTGATTTAAATTTTTAAAAATCCAATTTTTAAATTATTAGTTAATTTTTTAAAAAATTATTTTTAGCCACCCTGGTTTCCTCTGTGCTTTGGGTTCTACTTGCTTTACGTTTTAGGTGCTGTGTAGAGGGTAAGAAATCAGGTTACATTAGGGCCAAGCCACACTGCCATTTATCCTGTGATTTCAAGTCATGGCTCCAAGATTTCCTTTCTTTCGCCCTGTCACATTCCCCAGGAAAAAAGCCCCTAGTTTACTGCTGAATCGGAACAAACAGCAATCAAGTTTTTCTGTGGATTAATGCTTGCTCTGATCCAGCTGTAAAGGGTGGATTTCCCCTGGGGAAAGCAGCGAGACAAAAACAAAAGCAAACCTCTTGGACCCATGGCTTGAATGGCAGGGACCTGTGGATGGGCTCTTAGTCACAGGGGAATTCCAGGCAGGGATTTCTGGTGGGATCAGTCCTTCTCTTGCAGTGCAAGCTTATCATAGTGCCCACACTACTTCATTGGCATCAGAACACCAGCATGTATCATCTCCTTTCCATTTAATCTTGACTTAATCTCCTGGCAGAAAATCCGATAAATTAGAAATAACCTGTTGCGAATGGGCCATTTGCAATGACTGAATTGTTCTGCCGGGACACTGAGGTCCAGCTCTGAGGGCCTCTGAGGGAGTGCCAGTTGCATCGGATCTATTATTGGCCTAGGAAATAAACAACTATAATAATAATAATAATAATAATAATAATAATAATAATAATAATAATAATAATAATTTATTATTTATACCCCACCCATCTAGCCGGGCCTCCCCAGCCACTCTGGGCGGCTCCCGGCAGAATATTCAAAACACAATAAAAGATCAAACATTAAAAACTTCCCTGAACAGGGCTGCCTTCAGATGTCTTTTAAAAGTCAGATAGTTGTTTATTTCCTTGACATCTGGTGGGAGGGCGTTCCACAGGGCAGGCGCCACTACCGAGAAGGCCCTCTGCCTGCTTCCCTGTAACCTCGCTTCTCGCAGTGAAGGAACTGCCAGAAGGCCCTCAGTGCTGGACCTCAGTGTCCAGGCTGAATGATGGGGGTGGAGACGCTCCTTCAGGTATACTGAGCCGAGGCTGTTTAGGGCTTTAAAGGTCACTACCAACTACCCATCTGAAGGCAGCCCTGTTTAGGGAAGTTTTTATCATGTTTTTCTTATGTTGGGAACCACCCAGAGTGACTGGGGAAACCCAACCAGATGGGTGGGGTATAAGTGATGATGATGATGATGAATGGACCCATTTGCAGTCCAGCGTTTATCCAGTCCAGCCAATTTTAAGGGAATAACGTTTAACCCAGATTATGTTCCCCTTGTGACCTTCCATGCAGGTGTAAGACAGACTTCTTCATCAGCCAGCGGTCCATTGGCCAAGATCCAGTCCATTGGCAGCATCTACAGAGCAGTCCTTTCTCCCCTCTCCATCCTGGTAAATGGACGCTGACACTTCAGTCGCAAGGCCACTACTCTGTGCACGTCCAAGGTGAGGAAAGGCTAAACTGAAGTGCTGGGATAAGTGAGGCCACAATGCTGAGATCCATTTTTCCTCTGCATGATCTTGCACACACCTGGAGGCGCTAGGGAGTGCCAGTTGCATCGGATCTATTATTGGCCTAAAACAGTGGCCATCTTTTTCGGATCTTTGAGCAAACGATTGCTCCGACATGGTGAAACTCTGTTCTCTAGAGCAAATGATTTCTAGTGAGGCCCAGAGGGTGGCAACATGGGAGCAGGGCCTTCTCTGCAGTGGCTCCCCGTCTGTGGAATGCTCTCTCCAGGGAAGTTTCTTTTATTCTTGTTCTTACTGAAATTCTATATCTATTTCTCTATCTCTCTACCTCTATCTATCTATCTATCTATCTATCTATCTATCTATCTATCTATCATCTATCTATCTATCATTTCTGTTTTACAATTTAGAGTATTAATTTAAACAACCTTAAAATATCAGTGACTTCCCTTCTTCTCTTTCCATGGTTCATTTTGCATATCAAAAATCCCTGCATATTTTCCATAAACTAAACCATTCACTGTTCCATTATTACACCCATCAAAACTTGTTGACGCCGTTGAATTTATCTTACCATTTCCAACGTTTTCAAGTGTACACAATTTCCCCCCATATATTCAATAAACATTTCCCAATCTTCTTTAAACGTATGTTCTTCTTGTTCTCTTCTTCTTTATGTTAGGTCTGCAAGCTGCACATATTCCATCAGTTTAAGTTGCCATTCTTCTTTAGTTGGGACTTTGCTCGTTTTCCATTTTTGGGCTAACAAAACACATAAATAACCCTTTTTTTTTTACACCTGAGAATTTCCGTGAAAAAACACTTGTATTTGTCGACAGGTCAGAGCACCTTTGACTTCCTGTATTACTTTGCGGTTCCAAAGGACGGACGCCACCCTGGGCTTTTTATGATGGATAGTTCCCCTGTGCAAGGTATGTATGGGATCATTCTCCTTCAGTGGCTCGGTGTTAGTTTTTGTACAGCTGTGTGGCAGCAGCAAGGGGGGTGCACTGGGGAGTGACAGTGATTTTTTCAAAAAATTAAAAAGTCCTTGTCATTATCCAGTCTTAAAATACCATAGGAAGTGGACTGGGAATTAGACACTGAGGAGCAACAAGTGGTCTTCTTCATGGGGCAAATTTCCCTATGGGTCTACTTCCAGCCAGCTTAAAGAAACTTCAATAAAATCTGCACAAAAAGTGTGCTTTGTGCCACTGAGAGTGCCAAATATTCAGAAAAAACAAGTTCACCAATATGTTGGAAAGAATGAACCATTAAGTAATCATTTTAAACGTATGTGGTGGGCCTGTGGGAAAAGTGACCCAATTTAAGCAATCAAATTTTTCATGATTTTAGAAAGGGATTTTAAAAAATTAAAAAAAACCCCAATACTGAGTTTATTCATGGGAGAACACTAAGATATAATATGGAAACCATTTGTGGGATGTGCATTGTTAGAAGATGGAGTTTTTATAGCTCAAACCTAGACATTTAAAGGATTTCACCTGTCTTTAAAAAAATCTATTGGCAAAATGCAAAACATTTATCTTTTCATAATTTTTTGTTTATCTTTTCATCTGTGCTCTCCGTAGAGTTTCATTTTAATATGTTCTGCTTTTTCCTAATGTTGGTTTTTGGAAATTACTTTCCCCCCGCCCCCAGCCTTTGTCTCTATTAACTGTCCAATATATTTGGTGGTCAGATATGAAATAATCCCTCTGTTGGTTCCATTCCACACCTTGGCCTCACCTGTTTCCCCAGACATTATTGCTAGCTACCAATTTCCAGCCTAATCGCAGGCTTGGATACTTCCAGAGGCCCTGCTAATAAGCAGGCACACTTAGCATCTTTGGGATTGGATGAACACAAAAAATACAAGAATAGCTCCGCTGGATTTGACCAACGGCCCATTGAGGCATGAATCCTGTTCTCACATTGTCCCGTCAAGATGCCCCCAAGGGGAAGTCCAGTCAAAGGAGACTATGGGGTTGGAGCGCACATCTTGCTTTCAGGCTGAGGGAGCCGGTGTTTGTCCGCAGACAGCTTTCTGGGTCATATGGCTAGCATGACTAAACCGCTTCTGGCACAACGGGACACCATGACAGAAACCAGAGCGCATGGAAACGCCATTTACCTTCCCGCTGCAGCGGTACCTATTTATCTACTTGTACTGGTGTGCTTTCAAACTGCTAGGTTGGCAGGAGCTGGGACAGAGCATTGGGAAGTCACTCTGTCGCAGGGATTCGAACTGCCGACCTTCTGATCGGCATGTCCAAGAGGCTCAGTGGTTTAGATCGCAGCGCCACCCGCATCCCTACTCTTCTGTCCTGAACTCTCCCAGCAACTGGGGTGGTCCAATGAGCTTTTGCCTTTCATTTCTTTTTCTTTTAAATTTTTAAAATTCATTTTTCTTTTTCATTCATTACATACACCTCAAAATTCTTAACATTTACTATATATTCCTCCCTTCCTCCCCTTCAGGGCTTCACCCAACTTCCGCTTCTGGTTTGTTTCTCTTTTCACCCACTTTGCTATCTCCTAACAGGAAAAGTCATTAATAACATAACATCAGGCCTAAAAACATAGAAATAAACACACCGTAATATTTCACTATTTTCTAAACGTTTTCTAATACTAAAAATGTGAATGTTTGTTTACATCCTGCCATCAAGTCTATTGACTTCCTTTGTTTCTGCAAATATAATATAAATGGTTCCCATTCTTTTTCAAAGTCGCTGTTGTCTTTTTCTATCTTTAATCTGTCTGTCATTTTTGCCAGTTCTGCATAGAACTTTTGCCTTTCCTTTCAACAGGCTTGCCCACTTACCTGGTCGTTATGGCGACCGGTTTGAAGAGATCCCCTGAAGCCGGTTTGGTTCAGCTGAAAGCTGAGAACCTGGAGGGGAGGGGAGGCAGCCTCGAGGAGCTGAAACTGGAAGGAGGAGCCAACCGGACGGACCTGCTGGTGGCCAAGCTGCCTCCCACCCTGACGACCGACAGCAGCTTCTCTGTAGTGCTGCGTGCTCTGGATGGAGACAGCCGGAAGGTGGAGAGGGCTGCTCCTCAGGCGACCACAGTTGAGGCATCCCTGCTGGAGGTAAGGCAGGGAAGCGAAGAAGAGAGCCATGCGTCTTGACTTGGGGAAGCTGCAGTGGCGGAGGAAGGTGGGTGCGGTGGGTGTGAGCTGCCCTGGGCGTCATCACTGAGGGGATAGACAAAAATATAAGGTGGTTTTAAAAAAAAAATGGGCTCACAAAACTTTTGAGTACAGTTTAATCGAACTACCTGCGGTTTAAATAAACATAGAATCATAGAATTGTAAGAGTTGGGAGGGACTAGTCAGCTAGTCATCTAGTCCGACTCCCTGCAAAGCAGAAACTGCAATTGTATGCCAAGAAACAGGGAATTATGTTCACATGTGGGGTGTGTGTGTGTGTGTGTAAATATGTTCAATTTTTCTGGCAAAGGGTGTTTGAAGGAGATAACAGAAATCACTGGGTTAAAGCTGACCAAAAGCTCAGAGGTAGCATTAATTTCAATTTTTGATGGGGTGGAAGGTTCGCAGGCTAGGAAGGACTTGCTCACAAGTTTATTGACAGCTGCACACATTATTATAGCTAGAAAGTAGAAGGGACAAGCAGAATATAAAATGGAAGAATGGTATAAAGAGGTATGGGATGTAGCTATTAATGATAAATTAATAAGTGCCATTAAGGTAAGATGGGGGAATATGCAGGAGAAATGATTTTGAGGAGAATTTGTACTGTTAAAACAGAAAGGGGTCAAACCACTGCAAGAGGTGTTGAAATTTTGGCAGGTTGGATAGTTACAATGGAATGGTCTCGGTGGTGGGGTGCACATGTTTATTCTTATTTATTTATGATTATTACTTTGTCACACAAAAAAAGAATAAGAAGAAGAAAGAGATTGCCATTGGCCCAGTCCTGTGGGAGATTCAGCAGGTGCCTTCTGTGCCAGATGTTAAATGCCTGCTGTGGAAAAAATGCCATTCTGCCAGGCCTGTGCAGGCAATTAAGAAAACACTTTTCTGCCAAGGGTTAATTGAAACCCGCTCTTAGCTTTTTGCTGTTTTTGATTGTAAGGATTTATGGCTGTAAACTTCTTTTTTAAAAATGACATATTTAAAAATAAATAAATAAAGGGGCACACTGTCATGCTTTTTTGGTCTGTGCAAACCTACCTACAAATATGCACCTGAGCATTTGCGCATGCCTTCCTTTAGGGACCAAGCAACGGGAGCTCACCCCGTCACAGGGATTCAAACTGCCGACCTTTCGATTGGCAAGCCCTAGGCTCTGTGGTTTAGACCACAGCACATTTCCTGCCCACCAAGCAGTTCGAAATCATGTCAAAGTGCAAGTAGATAAATAGGTACCACTCTGGCAGGAAGGTAGACGACGTTTCCGTGCGCTGCTCTGGTTTGCCAGAAGCGGCTTAGTCATGCTGGCCACATGACCCAGAAGCTGTCTGCAGACAAATGCCGGCTCCCTTGGCCTATAGAGCGAGATGAGTGCCGCAACCTAGAGTCGGTCCGCAACTGGACCTATCGGTCAGGGATACTTTTACCTTTACCTTTCCTTTAGGGAGCTCTCGTCTGGCTCCAGCAGCTGTGCTCTAACCTACGCCCTGCTTTGTTCCAGCTGAGCACAGATGCTCCGGTGTTCCCAGGGAGACCTGTTGACGTTGCCTGGAAGGTGACGAATCCCGGCTCACCCAAGCAGTATGATCTGAGGGTAAGCAGCGTTCCTGGGTTCCCGGTCAACATCTCCAGCTCCAGGTAATTCTGATGAACGAGCAACCATGGAAGACACCAGTTCCTAGCATTGTAACTCGGCGTTTTCTAGTCTTTTATGCCCTGCCCTGCCCCACATTCCAAAGGCAGGGCTTGTGCGCATTCCACTTTCGCACTGTGCAGAATGCAACTTCCTAAAAACTCAATTTCCGTTCCAAAATAAGAAATGTTTTGAGATCCTAAGGCTGTGAATGTTCTTGGAGATGTCAGGATCCTGTGCACGTGATAATGTTTTTGAAAGCTGGGTGATGTGGGTTTAGGCTTCTGTGTGGGTCTTTGTCCCCTACCTCCTCATGTTTAGAGGGGAAAGAAATTAGGAGTGTTGCCTCTCTGATTAGCGGTGGAGGCAGTTTTGTTGCTGGTCATACCACATTGTATTGATCTTACCTTACAAACTACCGTATTTTTCGCTCTATAGGACGCACCCGACCATAGGACGCACCTTGTTTTAGAGGTGGAGAACAAGAAAAAAAAATCTCCCCCTCTCTGCTCAGCACCCCTTCAGTGAAGCGGCAGGAGAAAGGAGCCCCTTCCATTTCTCCTCCCGCTTGGCTGAAGGGGCGCTGCGCAGCTCTCCCTCTCTGCTGAAGCCAGGAGAGTCTTGCTCTCCTGGCTTCAGCAAAAGGAACCCGAAGCCTGCGGAGCACAGTGCGAGTTCCCGCTGTGCTCCGAAGGCTTCAGGCGGCTATCCCCAAAGCCTGGAGAGCAAGAGGGGTCGGTCTCCAGGCTTCAGCGATAGCAACGCGAAAGCCTCTGGAGCGCAGAGGGAGCGCTCCCTCTGCGCTTCGGAGGCTTTGCGTTGCTATCGCTGAAACCAAGGAGCCTGCATTCGCTCCATAGGACGCACACACATTTCCCCTGAATTTTTGGAGGGAGAAAAGTGCGTCCTTTAGAGCGAAAAATACGGTACCTTATTTTATATGAAATACGGTCTATACATGTTTAAACAGCTAGATAAAATACTGAAGCTGCTTGATAATGCTTAGGCCACCCATCCATTTCTTAAATATTAACTTCCACTCTCCTTTTCTGCAGGCTACAATTGGACTTTAACCAAACAGCAACTGGACTCCTTACCTTGAATGTACCTGATGCCGCTGATCCTGGCTCTGTGATCACCCTGACGTTGCAGGCCAGGCTCCTTCACCCACCTGGGGATCCTAGCTTTGCCCATCTACAGCTGCTTGTGATGCCTCTGGTGAGCCTTGTGGGGGAAGAAAACTGGGGAGCAGGGTGCCTGTGGGAGAATTCCTGGAGTTATTCTTTGTTTATATATTGGGATGGGGAACCTGTGGTGTGTCCCCCCCCGATGCTGGACTCCAAATCCCATCAGCCCCGGTCAGCATGGCCAGTGGATGATGGGAATTGTAGTCCGACAGATATCTGCACAGGTTCCATACACATGGTTTGCTTCAAAACCATCAGAAGGACGCAGGCTTGTCAAAAGGAGCAAGGTAGTACTCATGGGTCATAGCGTTACAAGTTTGGGGAGAACAGTCGCTTCCAAACCCATGATCCTGCGTATGCAATAGAATATTTGAGACAACCAATCAGGCCGCTCTCTTTGTCAAAAATAGATTTTAATAATAATAATAATAATAATAATAATAATAATAATAATAAACACGAAAAAGAAAACAAGCTAGCTCCACCTTCCATGTGGCAGCCTTTAAGATATTTGAAGATGGCTATCCAGTCTCCTCTTAGCTCAGCTAAACATATTCAGCTGCCTCAACTGTTCCTCATCAGGCTTGGTTACCAGACCCTATATCCGACCACCTCATTTCTGGATATCCTGTAACAAGAAGCTCCTCTTCGCCCGCAGGTGCAGAACCCAGTCTCCTCCCCAGCCTGCAACGTCACTTCTGTCGGCGGGTCCTGTGGCCCACCGCGGATCCCTTGCCACGACCAGCGTTGGACGGCCACCTTGCGGATCTGGGACGAAGCTGGCGTCCGCTCGGTGCATGTGGAAGGAGGCACCGTGGTCGCTCACCATGCCGACGGGCTGGCAGAGTCCGTCACTTACACCTCAGACTGTTGCTCGCAGCAAGCCAGGCTGGTGGTCACCAACCTGCTTGGGCAGAAGTATCGGTGCCAAGTTGCGTCGGCGCCCCCTGCTCTTACTGTGAAGCCAAGAGCGTCCCCTCCTGAGGTCCTCAGGAAGCCTGTGGCGGCAGCAGGGGCTGCTGCGTCCTGGGGGTGGGTATTAATGGTGTCCATGGCAACCGGATGGACGATGTGTGTCACATAGGGGAAACTCCTGGCTGTAGGAAGGACCTCTCTGACTGTAGAGGCTGCCCTCTGTAGGGATATTGTGGCCTTTTTCCTTCCCAAGGAAGAGAATGAATGAGCTTGGAAGATGCCAAGCAGATGGGCAGGTCCTGAATTCTGGGCCTTCAAAGCACAAGCCAGGTCCTGACTACTGACGTGTGTGTTGCACTGTGATTGATAGGTGGTAAAACGCTCTGAGCCTCAGATTCCACCCTCTTTACCTGATCTGAGCTGCTCTTGAGCTTTGTGGCGGCGGAGTCTCTTTGAAGAGAATAATAGAAGGAGCTTCCGTATAACTGAGCCAGATATTTGGGTCATGTAGCCCAGATTGAGCTGTCTGGTAGGCGTGCCTGCTGGCTTCTCAGCCTTAACCACCTGAGATCCTTTTAATGGGCAGTGGCAGGGTTGAAATTGGGACTTGCGCATGCAGAACCACCGACCAGAGGGGCATGGCTGCTCCCTGGAGGGAGATGTGTGGGGCCCAAACCCACATCCTCGCTGCTATAAGTTCCATGCGCAGAAGGGCATTACTAGCCAGACTGAACAGGCCATCTTTTCCCCATCTCACATACTTTTTTCCTATCTGTGCCCCATTCCCCTTTTAATCATTTGTCTGTCTGGAGCCTCTACTTGTGTGTCACAGTTCTTACCCTTTCTGCTTCTGTGTATATTTTGACCTGACCACCAGAAGCGTGCAAGGCTAACTGCTTCATTTTTGCCGGCTGGAAACAGGTCCCCAAGTCTCCTGTTACCCCTGAAATGGGCCCCAGTCAGTTTATCCTACAGTTGTCGTCCTCTTCATTCCTTTGCCCCCAAAGTCCCCTCCATTCTTTTCACACACCCGTTCTAAATTCCTTTCTTACCGTGGCTGTATAAAACTTTTCAGAGTCCGTGCTCATTGCCTGGACACCCTCTGTACGCTGTTACCTTCTGATCAGCGATCGATTTCCATTCTCTTTTTGCGTACTCAAGAGAATTCTCAGGACTGGCCCTACTGTTAGGCAGAGGGAGGCAGCTGCCTCAGGAAGCAGATGCCGAGGGTGTTAAAGCATTGGAGAAGAGAGCTGTGTGCATGCCCCACACAGACTGCCCTGCACCCCCGAAAAGAAGCCTGCTCCTCTCAGGTGTGCAGTGGGAAAATGCTTTCCCATTGCCTGAGTTGAAACAAGGTTTGGTAGCCAGTCTAGCTAGGTTCTGTGCATGAAATCGGGGGCTGACAGCGGAAAATCAACTTTGCTTCAGGCAGCAAATGTCCTGGGCTGGCCCGGGAAATCTTCCTTCGCTCTTCCTTCCTCCTGTTCTTATGTGTGCCTTTCTTCCTACTTCTATTTTCCTGCCTCTCTGCCACGTCATCACTGGGTTAGTCTGTCGCAGGAAAAAAACAGCAGAGCGTCCTCTGACACCCTTTAAGAAGTCTAGCCGGGATCTAGTAGCTGTTGAACTGAGACCTCCACACCACCTCCTTTTGTGTGAGTGGCCCAACTGGCTTTCTGGAGAACCCTTTTATGGTTCCTCTTGTGAAAAGAGTTGGGAATCAGCAAGCCTTGCCAATCCATTTCCAGTTGCCTCTTCCTAGATTAACCTGTGCAGGGGATTCTGGCTGGAACAGAATTGGTCCCTTCCGCTGCTCAGGTGGGTCTGCCTTGCCTCCTCCTCCCATCTTGGGCCCTGCCAAGGCCTCCCTCTCTCTCTGTAACCCCTGTTCCATCAGGCTACTGCTAGTTAGCTGCAGCCATTCAGTCTTAATGTGACTGAGCTGGGAGAGGTGATGATCAAACTTTCCCCTGTGTTGTTTTCCTGGTCAAACTCAATATACCTATCCCACTTTCCATATAGGAAGCAGCATTGTGGGGTGGGGGGGGGAGATGTCAGATATTTCAGTTGAGGAAATAAATAGTGGCTTTCCTGCTGAAAGCACTAGCTCTTCCGAGGCCACTGTGAAGTAAAGAAAAATTGTTAGGAGAATCAACCACAGGTCTTCCACCAATTTGGCTTTAAGCGTGCATTAAGATCTGAGATTCTTCTCTGCATGAAGCGTTCCTCGTCTCCAGACTTCCTTTCAGTTAAACTTGAACTGTATATTTTTGCCTACTGGGTCTAAATCGTCCTCTCTATATTTTTATGCAAATTATTTTTTAAAGTTCTGGATATTTTAGTTTTCGCCGTATGAGATTCATGTTGTTGTTGTTTTGTATATAGATAGATATTTGTTTAATGGATAAAAAGAAGCATTTGGAAATTTTTCGACTTTTGTGTCAACTGAAATGTAGAATGGTGGTGTCTTGCTTTTTTCCTCTTGAACTATTTCAATAATAAAATGTGCAATAGGTTTTGAGGATCCCCGCCCCCCAGGGAGGTGTGGAAGTGAGATTAGGGTGCAAAATTAAAATAATCCAGTGCATTCAAATATGTTTTAATCACGCATACATTTCAGTTGTTTTCTATACAAACGTTTGAATAAATAAAGTTTGGTTGGTGGTTGTTTTTTTAAAAAAGGGGTGAGAATTGGGGGATGCGAAAGGGGAATAGGGAATATAAATTATTGACATTTGAGTAGTGTTATATTGTTGAAGCCAGCAGGGGGAGCCATAGATTTGAGGTTGGGGTTGCTGCTAGCATCCGTATGAGAAAGTGATTAAGATCATCAATGCTGGCTTTTAAAAATACCTGCTTATAGTGGGCAGGGCCTGGCAGCTTATGTAGAGTCAGGCACTGGAGGCCAGTGGTTCAGATCACTTGGAAAATCCTAAATACCCAGCTCTAAATGCCAGGTTTGAAAATGGGGTTGAAATCCACCCCAGGCTTATGCTCTGGTTAGAAATTACCGTACACAGAAGCTGACCCACGCCATACTTCTTAATTGTTGTCACCTGTGTCAGGAGTAAGCCCTGTCCCCAAATTTCAGTCACTTATCATTTACCATTTCTGTTCTGCAGATGAAAAACACTTAGGACACCTATTGATTTTTGCTGTTGGGGTTTAACAAACAGTGTTTGTCGTATTTTTTTCCAAGGAAATCCCAAACCAAGCAAGCAGACAGGTGCCTTTCTCCTGACACACAACACACATGGCTTTGTTCCGAGACATTTTATCACCCTGAGACACATTTGAACAGGCTTGGGTGGAAAAAAATTCCCCTGTATATTTCAGTTTTGTGGAAGTTGTTTGAGGGTAGAAAACGACCATGTGAAACTAGCCGTGCCCAATTTTTGCTTTCCCTGGATTAACAAAATGACCCAATACTGAACATGAGATCAAATGGGATAGCTCAGAGACCTGAGGGATAGCTAGGTTGGTAGAGCACAAGATCCCTAATCTCAGGGCTGTGGGTTCGAAAAATTCCTGAAGGAGGGTCTCCACCCCCATTGTTCTGCCAGGACACTGAGGTCCAGTTCTGAGGGCCTTCTGGCGGTTCCCTCGCTGCGAGAAGCCAAGTTACAGGGAACCGAGCAGAGGGCCTTCTTGGTAGTGGCACCCGCCCTGTGGAACGCCCTCCCACCAGATGTCAAAGAGAAAAATAACTACCAAACTTTTAGAAGACATCTGATGGCACCCCTGTTTAGGGAAGCTTTTAATGTTTAATAGGTTATTGTATTTCAGTGTTCTGTTGGAAGCCGCCCAGAGTGGCTGGGGAAACTCAGCCAGATGGGCGGGGTATAAATAATAAATTATTATTATTATTATTCCTTCATTGCCAGGGGTTGGACCAGATGATCCTCGTGGTTGGTCCGTTCCAATTTTATGATTCTAGAGAACTGACTGGTTCTTGGCACCCTACAAATAAGTAGATTATGCATATACCTATGGGAAGGGTCCCTGGCAAATATCTATAGGCAAATCCTATGTAGGGGGTTGCTTCATATTTCCCTCTCTGCAATACAGGAATGTAGAAGACTGCCTACAGCAAGTCAGGCTTATCGTCTAGCACAATCATGTTTGCCTTGACTGGTAGTGGATATTTTGGGAGTCAGGCATTGGTCTTTTTCACAGGAACAAAGAAAGCTGCCGCAAACAGAGTTTGACCATTGGTCAGTACTGTCTACACTGATTGGCAGCAGGTCTCCAAGGTTCCTGGAACATTCCCAGCCATACCTAGAGATGCCAGGGATTGAACTGGCGACCTTCTGCATGCAAAGCAGATGCTCTGTCACCTGAGCTCCCATGCCCTAGCTGCTCCCATTACCTGCTAGCCTAACATCTTTTTAATGGGAGGCATTAGGATGCCATGGCTTTGCTATGCTCTTCCGCTTTTCTGTCTTTGAAACAGGAACCAGAAGTAAAGGCTGTGTGTCACTCTGTCCCCCCCACCCCCGGCTTCATGGCTATGGATGTCCTGTCAACAAAGGCCATCAGAAAATAAGCTTAATAAGAAAGCGACTTCTTCAAAAACTTACGGGAAGAGTTAATGGAATAGTGTTGAATTAGAGGAGGAGGAATAATGATGTTGGTGTGTTGGCTTAATCTTTGGACCACGGAAAGAGCACCCTAAGCGGCCGCAGATGACCTTTTTGTTTTGGTTCTCCCCACAATAGCAATGGCCTACCTCACTGAAGAAGGGAAATATAACCAGACTAAGAGTGCTATACAGTGGTACCATGGTTCTCAAACACCTTGGTACTCAAACAACTTGGAACCCAAACACTGCAAACCCAGAAGTCAGTACAGTGGTGCCCCGCAAGACGAATGCCTCGCAAGACGAAAAACTCGCTAGACGAAAGGGTTTTTCGGTTTTTGCGTTGCTTCGCTAGACAAATTTCCCTATGGGCTTGCTTCGCAAGACGAAAACGTCTTGCGAGTTTGTTCGCTTTTTTCTTAAAGCCGCTTGAAGAGGCGCAGTTGCGACGGACCGTGCTTTGCAAGACGAAAAACATCGCAAGACGAAAAGACTCGTGGAACGAATTAATTTCGTCTTGCGAGGCACCACTGTATTTCGGTTTGCAAACATTTTTCGGAAGCCAAACGTGCTCCATTTTGAGTGTTACGCTTCCGTTTTGAGTGCCACACTTCCATTTTGAGTGTTATGCTGAGGTTTGACTGCGTTTGCTATTTATTTTGCATTTTTGTTTTTGTGGCTCTTTTTGTTTTGTTTTTGTGACTGTGTGGAACTCAGTTCAGCTACTGATTGTGTCACTGCAGTGCATTGTTTATTGCTTTCATTTTATGGATCAATGGTCTCGTTAGATAGTAAAATTCATGTTAAGTTGCTGTTTTAGGGGTTGTTTTTAAAAGTCTGGAATGGATTAATTCATTTTGCATTACTTTCTATGGGAAAGCACGCCTTGGTTTTGGAACGCTTTGGTTTTGGAACAGACTCCCGGAACAGATTAAGTTTGAGAACCAAGGTACCCCTGTACCCAATTATCAAAAGGCAAGGTCTATGCAATTTGGCAGCCAAGGAGAGAGTTATGGCCCCGTCTTTTGAAGGAAGATTTGGGTGGGAACATAAGAGGGGCAATGTTCAGCAGCTCTAGGATATGGCACATAGCAAAAGTGCCCCAAAGGAAAGGGGCGTCTAATTCATTTTGGTGAGCAAGCTTTCCCGGGCAGAGCTAGCCTTACCTCAGATAGAAGGAGGCAGTTGCTGAGGGGGCACAAAGAGGATAGGGTCTGCTCTGTGCCTCCTGATTCTAGCCTGCCGCCTTCGGGTGCAACAGAGGGTCCTCTCTGGTCACCAGCGCTGAAAGAAGATTCAGCTGCCAGTGTAGCCAGCACAGAATAGGGGAGGCGCCATCTTGTCCTTCACCTCAGACAGAAAAAAGCGTCTTGGAACCAGACCCGAGCCCAGCCTTGTTTTCTGCATCACTGCCGAGTGTGAAATGTTGCGTCTTAACACAAAGTCCTGAACTCATGCTAAGAAAAGGAGGTTCTAGGCTTCAAGCTGGAGCAAAACGTCTTGAGTTGTGCTGATGGAGAAGAAACCGGGGCTGGGTTGGTTCTAGGCTGTGGGGGGCCTTTGAGCAAGAAGAAGAAGAAGGTTTGGAGTTGCTATCCCGCTTTATCACTACCCGAAAGAGTCTCAAAGCGGCTAACATTCTCCTTTCCCTTCCTCCCCCACAACAAACACTCTGTGAGGTGAGTGAGGCTGAGAGACTTCAAAGAAGTGTGACTGGCCCAAGGTCACCCAGCAGCTGCATGTGGAGGAGCGGGGAAGCGAACCTGGTTCCCCAGATTACGAGACTACCGCTCTTAACCACTACACCACACTGGCTCCCACCCTCCATGGGTGGGGGTAGGTGGGTGGCCTCCCTCACCTAGTCCACCTCCTCAGTGTAGCAAGTCAAGGGGCCTCGTGGCACCCGGGAGCGGGGCCCTGCCCAATGCCTGACCCTGCCAACTTCTGAATGGCAGCCCTGGGCCAGGAAATGTTCTTTCCAGTCTCGCCCTCAATGTTCCACATCTATGGCTCCTTCCCTCTGACAGGCCAATTGCCTTCCCACCTCCTCCTTTCCATGAATGTCAATAGCCCTTTGTTTCCAGCTTTTCATAGTAACAGCAATCCTCTGTCTCAAAATATCTCCCAAGCAAATGATGCAAACCGAGGGGATATGCACATATTACAGCTACCATCCCACATCCGCTAGCTCTCCACTGAACAGCAATGTAAAGAGGTTGACGTATGCAAGAGTCGGACAATTGGTCCATCTAACTCAGTCCTGGCCTACACTGCCTGCTAGTGGCTCTCCAGGGTTTCAGACAGCGGGGAGGGGGCGACATTCACAGCCCTACTTGGCGACACCGGGGATCGAACCTGTGACCTTCTGCATGCCCTCGGATTGGGCCGGATGACTAGAGGTCTAGTGTTCCTCTAGCGCCTCCTGCAGGAGCAGGCCAAAATGGCATAAAGGAGAAAACGTTTGCGACGCCTCCTTCACAAGAAAGGTCTGTCTGAAAGATGGCCAGTCAAAGGAAGTGATGTCACGGGCACAGAGGGGACAAAGGGACATCGCCGTGCCGCTGACCGCCGACAGAGTGTGGCCTTGGCTGTCAGATAAAGGTGGACTCCTTGTGGCTGGGTAGTCTGTAGCCGCGGGTCTCTTTCAGCTGCTTGCAAAGAGCTGCTTTCTCTTGTTCCAGCTGGGCAATGCGGTCGCTCTTCTCAGACACTTCCTGTGTATGATACGATATTTTTATTGTCATTGTCCATACAGAACAATGAAACTGAAAAATCTACATAAGACATTCGAAAACTCTGAAACCCCATTTTAAAATACAGTGTAACCTCGGTTAAGTTACTTAATGTTCCGAGGTTCCGTTCTTAACCTGAAACAGTTCTTAACCTGAGCACTACTTAGCTAATGGGGCTCCCATGCCGCCGGAGCAATATTTCTGGTTGCTCATCTGAAGCAAGTTCTTTAACCGAGTGTACTATTTCTGGGTTAGCGGATGTCTGTAATCCGAAGCTGTACGTAACCTAAAGTCATCGTTACCTGAGGTAGGCAGGGGTATAATAATATATACTCCTATAAAGACCCTTATGCGCGTTTAAGACCATCTAAGAATTGCTATTTGGGTATGAAAACTTTTCCAGTGGCTAGTCTTAGTCTTAATAACCCTGTACCTTCTTCCAGAAGGGCAGAAGCTGGATAAGAGATTCATTTCCGGGGTGCACACTATCCTGCGCTATCTCTGCCGCTTTCTTATGGCACCTGGCAGCATAGATTTGATCTAAGGAGGGAAGAGTGCACCCAATTATTCTCTCCGCAGTCTTTACAACCTTGGACAGCATTGTTTTTTCCCTGACCGTGCAGCTCCCAAACCACACACAGAGACCATAAATTAATACACTCTCCACAGTACAATGGTAAAATGCCATCAACAGGTCCTTTGAGAGATTGTTTTTCCGGAGGTTTCTCAGAAAATATAACCTCTGCTGTGCTCTCTTCATCAGGTCTTTGCTGTTTTCTCCCCAGATTAGGTCATCTCTCAACTTCATTCCCAGAAATCGAAACACCGAGACTGTTTGTTAGGCAGACAAGCGGCGTTATCAAGAACAGAACCGCCATGTTGTTGCACTGGACTTCAAGAATGAGAGGGGAATACAGGGAATCAGTTCTGGGGGGGGGGTCAAAGTGGACACCTTTTAATGTGTCCAAAATCTGTGTCTCAGGAGGTCGTCTCAGTCTGCCTCCTCAAAGGCGAATCCTGAGGCAGCCACTGGCTTTCACGATTGCTTGACTTGTTGGCATCCGTCTGTCTCGAGAGACAATGGAGTGTGCCTCCGGGGGTGAAGTCAAACGGCTGCATTAGCAGCACCAAAGTAACCTCTCCAGGGTGCAAGCCTGGGCCATGTGCATGGAGGTCCTGGGCTGCCCAGATGAGAAGACCCCCCTCTCGGCCTCGCTGATGTGGTCCAAAGGAAAGCAGAGCAATACATTTGGCACCAGCTGGGCTGCAGGAGTTGCCGGAAGGAGGTGTACAAGGCGCCATCTAACCGCCTTAGCAATTCCGCTCCGGAATTGTTTAGGATTTACTCCTTAGCCAGGCATAGGCAAACTCGGCCCTCCAGATGGTTTGGGACTACAACTCCCATCACCCCTAGCTAACAGGACCAGGGATGATGGGAGTTGTAGTCCCAAACCATCTGGAGGGCCGAGTTTGCCTATGCCTGTCCTTAGCCCTTTCTTGTCCCAAAGTAGCGGGCACAGATTGTTCCTTGGAGTTTACTCCCGAAGCCTTTCTCACAAATGTGTATAACTGTAAGGCAGAGGAGGTTTAAGACCAGAGTTTTCCTTCTCCTAGGCGGGCTCCCTTCCCAAGTTGATGAGCCCCATCTACCCCTCACTTCCCTCTACAACATGTGCAGAAACTGCCTTCTTGACCATTCGACCCCCTGTGGGTGTCGTCCCACTCAGTTCCACCACTCTGTCTTTGTGCATCTTGGTTTTTTGTTTAAATGGACCAGCCTGTGGATTTTCCCCTTACCTTGATCAGCAGGTGGTTCTGTTCCTTGAGGACTGTGACAGCTTGCTGCTGAAACTCCTTCTTTCCCGGTGGATAAAGGGGGCCCCCAAAACCAGGAGGTGGGACTTCAGGCTAGAGAAGTGGGGAAACCCGCATAACTATCTGAGCGCAACTTCCTTACACAACATACTACCCATTTTTTTTTATCCAGCACTCCTGTGTTGCAAAGGGGCCTCTTAATAATAATAATAATAATAATAATAATAATAATAATAATAATAATAATTTATTATTTATACCCAGTTACATACTTTTTAGAATGTATGATTATTTGACTGTCTGATTATTTGATTATTGTTAGCCGCCCTGAGCCCGGCTTCGGCTGGGGAGGGCGGGATATAAATAAATTTATTATTATTATTATTATTATTATTATTATTATTATTATTAAACAGCAACCTGACTTTTAGAGGACATTTGAAGGCAGCCCTGTTTAGGGAAGTTTTTAATGTTTGATGTTTTCTTGTGTTTTTAATATTCTGCTGGGAGCCACCCAGTCAGATGGGCGGGGTATAAATGATAAATAGTAATAATAATAATAATAATAGGGTGCTTGTTCTCTGATCACAGGCAGACGCAGTGCAGATGTGTTCAGAGGCATGTGCCCTGACCAAGCAAGGTAAAAAAGGAGTCAAAGGTGTCTCCAGATGTGCCATCCATCCAAACCAGTCTTATTCCAACATGGACCATAGAATCATAGAGTTGGAATAGACCACAAGGGCCATCGAGTCCAACCCCCTGCCAAGCAGGAAACACCATCAGAGCACTCCTGACATGTGGTTGTCAAGCCTCTGCTTAAAGACCTCCAAAGAAGGAGACTCCACCACACTCCTTGGCAGCAAATTCCACTGTCAAACAGCTCTTACTGTCAGGAAGTTCTTCCTAATGTTTAGGTGGAATCTTCTTTCTTGTAGTTTGGATCCATTGCTCCGTGTCCGCTTCTCTGGAGCAGCAGAAAACAACCTTTCCCACATCCTTATTTTTCTATTTCAGCTCACATTTTGCTGACCAAGGGAGGCAACCCCTCCTCCCAGTGCTTAACATTTGGATACAGCCTTCTGGGAAGCTGTCGAATGCAAAGCCCATGGAAATGAGAAGGACCTGTATTCAGCCAGTTCCTGCTCACTTCTGTAGAGCTTCTTCAGGTGAACTTGCACCTGACAGGTGAGATCTGTCTGTTTCGCCTTCCAGCCCCTTGTGCTAGAAACGTGAACGATCCTCCCTCCCAAGGCAGTCGCTTCTTCAATATCCCCCCAGGACAGAACTGCCCCAACCCCAGGACCCTCCCCTTCCCCTCTGTCCCCACTGACCTTTCCAGGAGAGGCCAGCAGGTTTTTCAAGCACAGGTTCACTTCCTGGATCTTGGCCAGCAGCAAGCAGCTCTGGTTGGAGTAAGGGTCTGGGAAATAGCTCTGCGGTTGTGCAAGAACAACAGTGAGCAGGGGAAAAGCAAAACAAAACTCAGTATGGAAATTGTAACCTGAAATTGCAATTCAAAGAGTTGTTGTTTTTCAAAAAAAGGTAAATAGAAAAAAGGTATGAGGATGTTTGCAATTAATATACGACCTTTTAGCCCATGTGTGAAAATGTGTATGTGGACGCAGGTGGCACTGTGGGTTAAACCACAGAGTCTAGGGCTTACCGATCAGAAGGTTGGCGGTTTGAATCACGTGACAGGGTGAGCTCCGTTGCTCGGTCCCTGCTCCTGCCAACCTAGCAGTTCGAAAGCACGTCAAAGTGCAAGTAGATAAATAGGTACCGCTCCGGCGAGAAGGTAAACAGTGTTTCCGTGGGCTGCTCTGGTTTGTCAGAAGCGGCTTAGTCATGCTGGCCACATGACCCGGAAGCTGTACGCCGGCTCCCTCGGCCAGTAAACGAGATGAGCGCCGCAACCCCAGAGTCGGCCACGACTGGACCTAATGGTCAGGGGTCCCTTTACCTTTAACTGAAATAACCACCTTCGCTTGTGGCAGCGTCAACGAGTGTCTTGCCAAGCCAAGACTTGGCTCAGTGTGTTGTGTGAACCAGTTCAAAGATTTCACACTGAAAGTGACCTTTGGATCTTATGAGTCTCCTATTCCCTGCTCCCTTTTATTCCAAGCTGGGGAGCTCCCTAAATGTGTGACAATTGTCAAATTAAACATCTGTGCTTTGAAAAGGGGACATGTAAAATCCACAGAACCTCATGTGTATCTCAGCCTACTGAATGCCGCGCCACAAATACTCCATCATCACACAAGGCCGGCCCTTACCTTGAGCAGAGTGAGGCAGATGCCTCAGGCACCTGATTTTGGGTCTCATGAAAGGGCTGCCAATTGTTAGCTATTCTATTTTTATTGCAGCTTTACTGCCCTGGGAAGCGAGATGTGCTTGTGGGATTTTCTGCCCCAGGTGCCAAAATAGCCAGACCACCCTTAGCACCTTTAGATACCATCTAAGGGTGGCTATCTGCTCTCCTCGGGTCCTGCCTGGTACTTACTGCCTCCGTTCCCATGTGCTTCTGACGCCTCTGGGCCTCCAGGAGGTGGCGCTGAAACCAGTCGCGCACCCGCTCAACCATCTCCAGCCCTTGAAGCAAGGCGTCCCGTTCCCGTTCCAGCTCTTGCATTCGTTTCAGCTGTAAGACAGGGGGCAAAGTCAAGATTCCAGCTTGTGATTTGCGGGGTGGGTGGGTTTATTTGATTCAACAGCACAGAACGACTTTGCAATGCTCAGGAGACCTCCGTGTAAGGGAGAAGCCACCCTGCAAAGAAGGATGTCAACATTTCTGCACAAAGTAGCGAAGAGCCGTAGCTCAAAGGATGTAGAACCCATGCTTTGGGCGCAGAAGGCCTCAAGTTCAGTCCTAGGCACCAAAGATGATGATGATGATGATGATGATGATGATTATTATTATTATTATCATTATCATCATCATCATCATCATCATCATCATCATCATCATCATTTATTAGATTTATATATCGCCCTTCATCAAAAGATCTCAGGTTGGTCCATAAGATAAAAACACAAGATAAAAGCACAAATCAATAGTTAACAAATCAATAACCCTGCACTCCCACAAACACATTTAAAAGGCTGTAAAATGCTAATCAGACCTGATTGAACAGGAATGTTTTTGCAGGGCACTTAAAAATATTTATAATGAAGGAGGCAGATGAATCTCCCTGAGGGGAGCGTTCCACAAACGAGGAGCCACCACAGAAAAGGCCCCGTTCTTGTGTTGCCACCCTCTGGACCTCACGTGGAGGAGGCACACGAAGAAGGGCCTCAGATGATGCAAGGTGGCAGAGGAGGCGGGAAGGGGCAAAGCGACACCCTTCTGAGCTCCCCAGAAAGGGCACCTGCCAAAGCAGCAGCAGGAGGGCAGGAGCCCATTGCCAATTGCTACCTTACCCCATAAGCGCCTACTCAATCACTTTGATATGCAGAAGTGGCATTTTGACATAAACATTCTATGTAACGTGAAACCACACTTCAAAACCAGTTCTCGACGCAGCTCAGAAAGTGAGACAGCTCAGTTGGTTAGAGCGTGGCGCCGATAACGCCAGGGTTGCAGGTTGGATCCCCGTAAGGGACAGCTGCGTATTCCTGCATTGCAGGGGGTTGGACTAGATGATCCTCAGGGCTCCTTCCAACTCTATGATTCTATGAGAGGAAATGCCCCAAACCTCCAAACCGCAATGAAAACAGCACACCCTATCGAAACATCGGTTTGCGACAAGAATACAGGGTGGAGCAGCCCCTTCGACGAAACTGGCTGCAAAACTGCACGTCAATGCAATACTAAAATAATGAACACGAGAATAACCTGAGATGCAATTCGATGGAGTTTCTAGTGGGAGGAATCCCAAAGGCAAGGTGCCACCATGGAGAAGACCCTGCTACCCACAGAACACCTTCCAGGCTCTCTCGAGGGATGAGGAACAAGGCATTTCCTCATTTCTAAGGTTCTACAAATTCTTTTTTAGAACTCCAAAACACTGGATGTCTGGGGAGGAGGTAAGGTCTAAGGGAGGCCAGAACAAAGGGGTGTGGATATTTGTGTGTGTCGTCGTGGTCCCAGCTACCTGAGCCACAGAGAGACTCACCCAGAAGAAGAAGCGCAGGGCCTCCAGGCTGCTGAGGGCTGTGCCCAACGGGACGATGAGGATGGTGTAGCCTCTCTGGACCGCCATCATGGCGCAGTGGGGGCCGGGAGGCAGCAACGCCCAGAGCAGGAGGGAAGGGGGCCACCCTGGCATCCCAGCGGGGCAGCGAGGTCCCCTCACAGTGGCGCCCCTGCTTGAGGAGGGGGAAAGTCACGCTCGGACGACGTGGCTCCTTCTTCTCTCCCCACAAGTCACGTCCCACCTGCTTCCAGGCCAGTGTCGTCACGGAGAGCTCCGCCGCCGGCAGCCAAATACTAAAACAGCACACCAGGGCCTCCCCAATTCCTTCAGGAACGTTTCTCTGAGCCTTTCCTCATTTCTCCTCAAACATTGGACTCTCCTTTCAGCCACTCCTCTTTCCTCTAAGGCACTTTTTGCTCCCCTGCATAGCTGTCAACCTTCCCCTTTTTTGCGGGAAATTCCCTTATTCCAGCGCTGCTTCCCGCAGCTATCCCGGATTGTTAGATATCCCGTAGACTGTCTGCGGGACGGGTGAGGCTGCCGATCCCGTATTTTCAAATCCGAAAGTTGACAGCTATGCTCCCCTGTCACACCCTCTTCCCAAAATCCTGTCACAACCTTCCTTCACAGCAGCTTCCCTCTCCCATCCCTCAGCTCTGGCCCCTTTCAGATGCTCTCTTCTGTCTCACACACCCCTCCATCAACCTTCTCCTCATTCACTCATTCACACCCTTCCTTCCTTCCTTCCTAGCGTTTCCACCCTTCCTCGCCCTTTTCTGCCACCCTCCTGCTCTTCCACATTCGCCTTCTTTTCTTCAAATGGATTTGCGCTGCCTGCTCTCCTCCGCTGCTAACCTCTCGCCTCGGCCTTCTCCTCTGCTTTCCCCTCTTCCCCTCAGACCCCTCCTCTGCCCTGGGGGCAAAGCAACAGTGTCCGGAATCTACCCCCCCCCCATCCCATTTGGCTGAAATCAGCACTTTCCCCCCAGTGCATCGTGGGATATGCTTTAAAGCCTCAGTTGCCCCGGACAATGGTGGCCATAATCCCTGCCTTTCCAGCTGGCTGAATGCGCTTGGGGTGCAAAGAGAGGTGAGCAGAACACACTGCTCTGCCAATTTGCGATTGCAACATGGAGAAAAGGCCTCGTTCAAAACTAGATCCTCAACTTTTTGGGGTGCCAGCTGGCCCTGGCTGAAGGTGCCTTAGACTGACTTTTTAATTTTGGGTGCTTCCAAGGCTATATAGCGATTTCCGAAGATGGGTTTCAATCACAGGCCAGAAAATTTGGTTGCGGGATAACAGTATCACAGAATTGTAGAGTTAGAAGGGACCCCGAGGGCCATCTAGTCCAGGACTCTCAACTACAGCAACAAGCCCACTTCCCCCAACCCAACCCCAAAATTAGACATTTCGCAATAAGGGAAGTAATAAGGCCCCTCGTATCCATGGGACTGCCTCTCCTGGTATGCCCTGCAGAGGACCTTAAGGTCCATGAATAACCATACTTTAGAGGTCCCGGGCCCTAAGGAAGTCAGACTATCCTCCACCAGGGTCAGGGCCTTCTCAGTGATGGCTCCGACCTGGTGGAATGCTCTGTCCCATGAGACCAGGGCTCTTCAGGATTTAGCCTCCTCCCGTCGGGCCTGTAAGGCAGAGCTATTCCACCTGGCCTTTAATTTGAATTCAGCCTGATCTTTTATTTCCCTTCCCTCCCCCTCCCCTTTTATGAACATCACCCGCTCTGAGACCCCACAGCTAATTCTCCCCTGGCCTCCTCGCTGGCCCAAGTAGGATCAATTTAGCCAGCTAGCCCTGGGGATTATCTAATTGATTTTTTATTTTTATTGTTATTCATGTTTTTATACTGTATTTTATGCTGCTTTTATAATTAAGTGTTTTAAAGTGTTTTAATTTTATTGTTAGCCGCCCTGAGCCTGGTTTTTGAACCGGGAAGGGCGGGGTATAAATAAAAATTTATTATTATTATTAATGCAAACTGGAAAGTGAGGGGTAACGCTTGAGGCAACGTGGTCTAACCTGCCCACAAACGAACTACCACAAACACTCCATAAACAGCTGATGTCGTCTGTCCTCCCTGCAAACTCTGTGCGAGCAAATCAGGACAAATGCTTGATAAAAACTGGATGCCTGGAAGCCGCTTCAGAGCCAAAGCGGGCATGCATTGAAATATGTAGCAGGCAGCTGCAGACGGCGCTTTTCAAAGCTCATTACAGAGGGAGGGCAGCCCTTCCCTGCAGGAGGCAGACAGAGCAGATCAGGCAGGTCGGCAAATACATCACTGAACGCTTTTTAAACAGGTCATCCGGAAGCAACTTTCGGTAATCATACCTTTCAGGTCCAACCGGCACCCTGGAAACAACTAACAACACAAGCCGTGTGGAAGCTAGACAATATGCGCATTAATACAAACAAACACACACTTAAAATCAAATATGAACTGCACTCCTTTCCAATCTGGCCTTGTCCGTCTTGTCTCCTTTCAGCATGAACCTGGACCTCCGTGGGGTGAGGGGAGTGGCAGTGGAAGGGGTGGGTTGAGAGAAAAGCAATTTTGAATAGGGACAAAATGGCTGGCAGGGGGGGATTTGGCCTACTTTTGGGGTTGACACAATTACTTTGTTGACACAAAACAAATCGCAGAAACCGTTGCTGGATTTCTCTTTCCTGCGGCAAAGACTCCTTAAGAGTTTTCAGTTAGTTTCATTGCATCTTGGATGGTTCCTATCCTTAGTTCATAGAATACAATGGGTTTTAATTCGGTGCATGGCAGAAATCGTAGGATTTTGCAATTTCAGTTTGCTTTTACTGAGACCGTACAATGACATTTGTATTGATTAAGCCACCCCTGCTCTTTTCACGCCCTTAACTCTCAGCTCGGTTTCATCCTCATGATCTCCTGCAGAGAATGCAGGCAACAACAACAACAACAATTTATTATTTATACCCCACCCATCTGGCTGGGTTTCCCCAGCCACTCTGGGCGGCTTCCAACAAAACACTAAAATACAATAACCTATTAAACATTAAAAGCTTCCATAAATAGAGCTGCCTTCAGATGTCTTCTAAAAGTTGGGTAGTTATTTTTCTCTTTGACATCTGGTGGGAGGGCGTTCCACAGGGCGGGCGCCACTACCAAGAAGGCCCTCTGCCTGGTTCCCTGTAACTTGGCTTCTCACAGGGAGGGAACTGCCAGAAGGCCCTCGGAGCTGGACCTCAGTGTCCGGGCAGAACGATGGGGGTGGAGACACTCCTTCAGATATACTGGACCGAGGCCGTTTAGGGCTTTAAAGGTCAGCACCAACACTTTGAATTGTGCTCGGAGTTCTTCACCCCTATCTGGCTGCCCAGCAGAACTACAATTTTTGAGGTCACGCAAGTCAGGACCACATGGAAGAGGTTTGCGATGTAAACACACCCTTGGACCGAGCGACCTCAAAGGACAATTGCAGCCCGGAGGCAGGTTTTTTTAAATAAATTAATGATGCTGATTTGTATTTCTTGAGGCTTGAATAATCCTCCTGTCGCTGGGGAAAAAAAGAAGAGGGAAAAAGACATTGTTTTCCATTTGCACACACAGGTGTGGCGTGTGGAATGCCTGACTAAAAATGACGTTTAGGATGTTTGCAGACCATTGGCTGGGTTTTTTAAATCACATTTAAGTTGCACAACTAATAGTGGATTGGAATGCCCCAAGGCCGGACTTTTCCCAATAAAGAAAGGGATGGGAAGATGCACTTGAAACGTGTGGCTTAACACTCTGTTCTGATGTTGTATTAACTCCCCGCAAACAGAGCAAAAAGGAGGCTCAGTGACCAGGCTGTCTGGAAGGGCCCTCAGGAGCTATTCCCTGGGCTTCCTCACCATATCATATTCCAAGGCATTGGAAATGGTGTGTCTTCGCGGTTCCTTCGGAAGTCGGATACTCCGGCGCCTCCCAGCTTGACAGAGGGAACTGTTGATGCTACGCGACCGCGTGACTCCTTTCCCATCGGATTCTCCTGGAGAAAGAGATTCATTATGCCATAAACATATTTTCAAAAGAAGGGGTTGGGGAAGGAACTTACAGGTTGATTTGTTGTCGTTTGATCTGATAAACTTTTGAGCATCCTGCCGTTTGCAGTGGACCTCATACTGCTCCCTCATGCAGGGTTTTCGTGCCACAATATAATCCTCATAGGAATAGCAACCCATATTGGTGACAGTCACACCATACATTAATAATAATAATAATAATAATAATAATAATAATAATAATAATATTTTATTTATACCCCGCCCATCTGGCTGGGTTTCCCCAGCCACCCTGGGCAGCTTCCATAGAAACCAAAAAACACTAAAATATCACACATTAAAAGCTTCCCTGAACAGGGCTGCCTTAAGATGTCTTCTGAATGTCAGGTAGTTGTTTATCGCTTTGACATCTGATGGGAGGGCGTTCCACAGGGCGGGTGCCACTACCGAGAAGGCCCTCTGCCTGGTTCCCTGTAGCTTTGCTTCTCGCAATGAGGGAACCTCCAGAAGGCCCTCGGCGCTGGACCTCAGCGTCCGGGCAGAACGATGGGGGTGGAGACGCTCCTTCAGGTATACTGGGCCGAGGCCGTTTAGGGCTTTAAAGGTCAGCACCAACACTTTGAATTGTGCTCGGAAACGTACTGGTTTAAAACTTGTTTAAACTTTTCCCACTGTTTAAAACTTTCCCACTGCTATATCTCTCTTAAAGTGAGAGGTTCATAAAAAATTAGAGCAGTCAGATATAAGGAGAAAAATGAGATGGAGATATGCAGTTTAGCTTTGTATTGTTTCATAGTCACACTGCTGGTATTGCTACTGCCCTGGACAGCTTAGATTCCTTACTTAATGATTCACTCCTTCCACATATGCCATCTATGTGCCTCATATGCCACTACATCATGAGTAGCCTCTGCAAGATCTGCCTTTGCCAGCATCCCCATGAGCAGCTGGTAGCAGAGAGTTCAATCCTGCTGGTGCTGCTTCACCAGCATATTCCCTACTGGGAAGCATTGGCAAAACAGACCTTACAGAGGCTGCCTGTCTTTCCTGTCTCCTGCACCCAACGGCCATGTCCTTTGAAAGCCTATAGATCTTCTGGACTGGACCAAGGTAACTGTTACGTGGATTTGTAGGTGGTTGACTAAATCCAAAGATTGCTCACTAACAGTTCTCATATCCCTGGAAAAAAGTGGACAAGTGGGGTGCCGTAGGGTTCTGTCCTGGGTCTGCTGTGTTCATGTCTTATAAATGACTTGGGATGAAGGAATTGGGGATGTTCAATTTGCAGATTGACACCGAACTGGGGGGTTTAGCCAATGCAGCAGAAGACAGGAATCTGGATTCAAGATGACCTTAACAATTTGGAGAACTTGGTCCAAACTAACAGAATGAGTTTCAGGGGAGACAAATGTAAGGTTCTGCATTTAGGCAGCAATAACCAGCCTGCTCAAATATAAGATGGAGGACACCTGGCTTGTCAGTAGTACGTGGGAAAAAGGATCTAGGGGTCTTAGTAGACCACAAACTGAACATGAGTCAATGGCGTGATGCATGGGGGGGGGGAGACTAATGCTATTCTAGATTGCATCAAACAGAAATATAGTGTCCAGATCAAGGCAAATAATAGTACCACTCTATTCTGCCTTGGTCAGACCACACCTGGAATACTGTGTCCAGTTCTGGGTGCCACAATTTAAGAAGGATATTGACAAGGTGAAACATTTGCAAAGGAGGGCAACCAATATTATCAAGGGTCTGAAAACCAAGCCTTATGGGGAACAGTCGAGGGAGTTGGGTATGTTTAGCCTGGATAAGAGGAAACTGAGAGGAGATATGATAGCCATGTTTAAATACCTAAAGGGCTGTCACATGTATCAAGTTTGTTTTCTCCTGCTCTGAGCGTAGGACTCGAACCAATGGATTCAAATTGCAAGAAACAAGATTCAGACTTAACATTAGGAAGAACTTTCTGATGGTAAAGAGCTTGCATGACAGTTGAACAGACACCCTCAGGTGGTGGTGGATTCTCCTTCCTTGGAGATTTAAAAGAGAGGCTGGATAACTATCTATCATATATGCTTAGTTGAGATTCTGTATTGCAAGGGGTTGGACTATATGACCCTTGGGATCCCTTCCAACTCTGCAATTCTATGATTCTGTGACCCAATCCAGTCAAAGCCCTGTTCAGGTTCGGTATCTAGGCTTCACCCAGATTGGTTGCACAGTCCTAGTTACTGCCTAATTACATTTGCCAGAAATCATAGAAGTCAATATTTGGACTTCCTGTCTGTGGATAAAGTTAAAGTGTATATCACATATCAGTATATGTGGAATTCTGTATGTTTACAACAAAATAAGATTGTTAAGTCTGTATCAACACATTTCTTGCTGTGTCAGTTGAGGCATATAGTTGAAGTGATGACTGATGGAAGGACGGTCAGAATGCAAGGCTAGGGGACTTCATGGGGTACAGACATCTGTCATCAACAATATTAATTTAATTAACTGAATTATTTTTCTGCCCCAGTAAAATTGAGGAAGAACTGAAATTATAGTATTCTAAAAATGTGTCTTAGTAATCACACTTATATTATGCAAGTGGAGTGTAAGAAATGCTACTTTTAATTTAAAATAAACCCAACTACTGTCTGGTGTGTGTGTGTCTAGCAATTTGCAATTATGATCTTCTTGATGAGTTTCCTCCATAAAAAAACAAGAGGTATTATAATTTAAATGGAGTTGTAGATATGGTTGATTTTAAATTTGTGACCCAGGGGTCAATAGTTATTGGGTGTAATAACCCTGCAGTAATATGACTCTTCATGGCACATTTGTATAATGAGAAATCATAACTAGTTAGAGGAAGTACAATTTTATTTTATTCTTTTGCCTTTGCTATTCACAAATGCTACTATATTGGCTTTAATTTTATAGACCTAAACTTCCAGCAATTGAAATAATCCTTTTTTCCCTCAACAAAAGCAACAAACAATATTATATGGGCAGTTTATACATGTATTTCAGCTCCCAATGCAAAATTGCTTTCAGTTTTTAAAATGATATACGCAGCCCCCCTTCTCAGCCAAAGATAAGTTGTTGCAAAATTTTAAAATTGGAATGAATTTTGTGCTTCCCTAACGTTAATGTGAATTTTTAGCTGGATGGCTGAAGCTGGATTCTCAAGAAGTCTGCCTACAATGAAAGTGCTATGGATTGTAATCCCAAGTTTGTTACATTCAGCATAGACCCCGAAGTAAGACCTGTTGAGTTTAAATGAGGGCTTAGTCCCAGGTACAGGGGTTCTAGCTTAGTTATTTGTATTTCTTTCTAGCTAAATTTAAGCAGACAGCAAAATACATCATGTTACATTAAAACGGTAAAAAAGAGAGAGGATCATATGCTTCCAATGGTACCACAAAAATACCACAAAACAAAAATCCTAAACAAACCAACAGACAGACACTAAAACATTCTCTGAAATAACTTATTTGTCTTTTCCACTCTGCTTGACTGTGTGATTTGAAACTGCTTTCTCTACCAGTTGACTTCATAGGAGGACTCCTCAGGCAATATTTGTATGCAAACAACAACTGGCCATTGGGGTGTTAAAATTATTACTAAATTACTAGTTTTAATTTGTTGATCACTTTTATATTCCATCTGTCTTCCACAGAGCTCAGGTAATAATATGTATAGATGTCCTCATTCCCCCTCCAGCTTCCACAGTCCTGTGAGGCAGCTAAAGGTGAGAGATTGTGAGTGACTCAAATTCACCCAGTGAGCTTTGTGGACAGTTTCATTACATAGTTATACGGTCACTAAATGGACTTGGTTATATCTAGGTAAAGTCAGATGTGGCTGCTGCTTTCTTGCTGGGGAGAGACCAGAAAGTTATTGTTTAGCTTCTTGGTGGCTGTGTCCTCAAAGCCTTCCATGCAAAGGGTGAGCAAATATTGGAGTCCAAATATCGCTACTCAAAGGCCAGCTTCCTATGTGCAGTATTACATTGGGCCCTGTATGCCGGAAACGTGAGTTTGAAGGGAATATGCAACCTTGCAGCAGAAGAATGTGCCAGGATGGAAATTGGTTACTTGATCCATGATATGCTAGATTTCCACACACAGGGATTGTCTTTGTGCCATAGCATTTAAACAAACACTTGTTACCACCGCTACCACTGGAAGTGGTACAATCAAGAGAAAGAATTCTATTGGCTGGATAAACCAAATCAAGAACCCCAAACAACTGCTCCTGAATCCTCTACCTCTAGGAGTTCTTTAAAATGGGACCATTTCACCAGCAGTAAATATCACTAGAAGCAACAATTTAGGAGCATGTTTAAATGGTAGAGAAGAGATGGGAAAGAAACTGATGGAGCAGGATGGGACAAGATTGTTGTTACAGATAGAGCACTAACATCTGCCAAATTTGTACCATTTTCTATGAGTCTTTCTAGAGAGCTTTTCATTCCAACGCTGCTCTTGGTTTTAATAACCTATCATTAAAATCCAAGCTGCTTTGTTAATTAGTTCCATAGATTATATAATATGGGGTATACCACCTTTCCAAAGTTCGCTGTATACATAGAAGGAATACTCTCCCCACAAATTGCTTTCTGCCAAAATCCTACAGTAGTTTGCTAAGTACTGCAGAAAGCCCAGTCATTAAGTGCAACAATCTATTTATCAGAATATAAACACTGTTATACAGCTGTGCCAATGTGTTAAGAACATTAATAGGGTTTATTTACTGAGCGAGGCAGACACTGCTCCTGCAGCAAAACTAAAGCGACCACGAATGTGTAAAAGAATAATTACTCAGGGAATGAGATGATAAAACTGTTTACACCCCCACCTCTCCCGGCCACCATTCAACATTATTTCTGAAAGTCTGTTCCCTGGTTGTTCTTGGTTAGCTGAGTTCAGGCTTAGTTATTCAAAGCATGTTTCAATTTATCTAAATAGCTGGGTGTAAGCAGACAGCAAAA